TTTAGCCCGTTGTTGCTGTCACCAGGTTGGCCCCTCTCATTGAGGGTTGTTCATCGCTCACCCTTTGCTTTGCTGAGCATGATGCCCTTCTACAGGGATTGGTCCCTACTAATAATATGATCAGAATGCATGGCATTTTAGCTTTACTTCCAAGGAGCTTTATGGCCACACTTCTTCCAAGACAGATTTGCTCGTTCTTCTAGAAATCCATTCAGTGCTCTTTAGGATTGTTTCTAGTTCTTTGGCAATACTACAATTCAAATGCGTCATTTCTGCTTCAGTTATAATTTATTATCTAGTTTTCACATGCTTGTGAAACAATTAAAAATAACATGCCTTTTCTCTGGTGCACCTGAGTGTTCTGAGTGACATCCTTGCTCTTTAAGATCTTTCTATAGATCTTTTGTACTGAATTTTCCCAGTGCAATACATCCTTTGATTTACTGGTTGCTTCTTCCATGGGCATTTACTATCGATCTGCAGAAAATCAAACACACAACAACTTCAGTATTTTCTCCATTTATCATGTTGTTGGTTACTTACATATGTGAAGATTTGTGTAATTTGTATACTTCCATGTAATCTATACTTAAAGCCGTAGTCTTTGATTTCCATCAGTAAGTGCTTAAAGCTTCATCTTGCTTGGATCCACAATTAAAATCCTTGGTACCAGCAGTCAGGAAATAAAGAAGATGCACTGCACTGGGACAATCTGCATTTAGGGACTTCTCCAAACTATTGAGGAGCAGTGATGTCAGTCTGAGGATTAAGGTGAGTCTGATTCAGGCCATAGTCTTTCTGAAGACTTGCTATGCATCTGAGAGTTGAACAAATGAATATGGATGACAGGAAAAAAAAGAATTGATGCCTTTGAGCTGTGGTATTGGAGAAGAACACTGAACATCCCATGGATAGCCAAGAGAATGAAGAGATATATCTTGGAGCGGGTACAGCTGGACTTTTCTTTGAGGCAAGAATAATAAGACTTTGCCTCACATACTTTGAGCATGTTGGTAGCATGCGGCTATTCCTTGGAGAGGAACATGGTGTCAAGAAGTGTGGAAGAAGGAGAGGAAGACCCTAAACTAGGTGGATTGACAGAATCAGCTCTTGTGTGTCAGGAAGTGTGAGGATGGCGAAGTGTGAGGATGAACAGGGTTCAGATCTTTTGTTCATTGGGTCACTATGAGTCATACTCAACTCAAGGGCACCTACTAATTAAGTCTTCCTGGAACCACAAATGTCTCAGTTATGTAGTGCTGTTATAACAGAGAGATCACAGTGGATAGTTTTAACAAATGTAAATTTGTTATCATAGGTGGTGGATGTTATGTGCCATCGAGTCACTTGTGACTCATAATGACCCTATGTACAAGAGCCCTAAAGCCTAACTCATAGGTTAGAAGGTTAAATGGGGAAAGTTTTATCTCTGTATAGGTTCCAGAGGAAGGTCTCTGGCTGCTTTCATCAGGCCAGGGTTCCTTAGAGATCTTCATAGGTCTTGGTGTCAATCTTTTCTTGAATCTAAAAGGTTCATCACACAGGGGTCCTGGGTCCAACGGATGCACTCCAGTCCTGGCTCATCTTTCTTAGGGGTATTGAAATTCTTGGCCCTTTTTGCCATTGTTCCTTCCTTTTATTTCTTGTGAGATAAAAAGTGTTATAAGCTGTGTCCATAGAACCTCCCTTTATATGAGATCATGACTGTCATAGGCTGTGCTCTATGGAACCTCTCTTTACAATGGGATCAGGACTGTCATAGGCTGTGCTCCCTGGAACCCCCTTTACATGAGATCTGGATTGTGATGGGATTAAAGGTATTGCATTCCATTCTTCAATCTTTTACAACTCCTTGGCTTATCAGGTCTTGAGGGGTTATTACATAACTTTCACATTACATGAGATACATGCATATATTTTGGAATGGCACAGTTCAATCCATGATAATGTGAAAATTAAAAAAAGTAAAACTATATAAAAAACTTTGAAAGGTAATTTATTAAAAGCAAAAGGCTGTGCTTTCCTCAAATGATATAATTTATCTATAGATGAATGTTTCTTGTTGATAGAATGAAATAGAAGGTATTATAATTTCAAAAAAATTTTCATTATTGTAGATGTGAGTGCTAAGAACCATTTTCACATAAATCAAGTAAGAATAAAAGGAATTTTATTGTAGTAGTGTCTCTCAATTTTTTCAGCTCTTGAGTTACTTGCAAAGTTATATGTTGCTTTCTCATCAATAATACTTTTCTTGGTCTGTCAACCAGTTGATAAGTAGCTTGATCTTCCATCAGTTTTATTGGTGGGCAAGACCATGATGCTAGAGATATGCAATCATACAGTAAGGATTGTGGGAGCCCATTTGAGTTTATTTTATGTGGTTATTCCATTTGCCATGTAGTGTGCCTGCCTCCAGCACTCATTGCCTGCCCAGGTGTAACTCAGAGAAAAAGAGAATTGGGTTCAATGAGGGTTGGAATTTTACCAGGTGTGTATTAAATACAATGCAATGGAAGTAAGACATAATAGATAATTATAAATAGCAAGTAATAATAGTCAGCTGGGCAAGGAAAGTAGTAAAAGGAGGGCCCTGATGGCCTGATAGGAAGTCAAGGTAGTGCTTGACGTGGTGGTCTAAATAGAAAATAGATGAGAGAGGAGAATGTGGTGAGAATGAGATGCATATTGAGGAGCTGAAGTGGGGCTAGTGCCACTAACGAGTTAAATTAATCTCTTTTAAGTAAATTTGCATCAAATTATGTTCATTTCAGCTTTGGAAGCCTCTTAAATATGTTCAGAGTAATGTGTATGTGGGTCTACTTTTGAAGAGTTTCGTAGATAGTAAATGCAAATAATGTATTTCTGCTCAAAATATTATAACCGATTTAGAACAAACTTTACATGCCAGGTACACCCTGGATTCCCAATCTAGTACAAAAAGTAAATGTAAACTTGGCAATTTCATGTTGATTTGTAGGAGTTCTGGTGGTCCTGTGGTTAAGCTCTGGCTACTTACCCAGGGATGGGCAGCTTGAGCCTCCACAGTCGTTCTGCTGGAGAGAGAGGGAGGGTCTGCTCCTGGGTTAGACAGTCTTGGAAACCGTAGGCAGTTCTGTTCCATTCCACAGGTCACCCTAAGTCAGAATCTGCGCCACAGCGATGTTTGGGTTGTTGTTGTTTTTTCCTAATTTTTATAGATGCCAAATGACAAGTCTTTTCTCCCTTGATGGTGGATTCAAACCTCCAGCCCTTTGGTCAATTGTGCTTCTGGGGAACCAGACCAAGAAAGACTGAGAAAGCCTTACAAGGTCACCATGCCATTGGATGTGGACTTCAGCCCTCAGCAGAAAAATATACAGCAGACCTCTTTATAGTTGATGTCAAACATCAGAACACTAGCAAATGCATAGGGAGAGTCACTGCCAATTTTTATTTGCGGTTACAATTGTTGTTGTTGTTATCAACTGTTGAGTCACATCTGACTCATGACAACTTTATTTACAGCAGAAGGAAACACCGCCTTGCCCTGCATCACGGCTTCCTCACAGGCACCAGCATGTCTGAGTGCATATTGCGGCTGTTGTACCGATCCATGTCACCAAGAAATTTCCTCATCCTGCTGGCTCTCCACACGACCAAACATGACATCCTCCTTCTCCTCCCCCTCCCTCTTCTTCTTCTTTCTTCTCTTTTTCCTCCTCCTCTGCAGTTGACCCTTTCTATGTCCTGCCTAAAGGAAACAAGCCAGACAGTATTCTGCGGTGGCCTGTAAGCTTTTCATTGGTTAATTTTCAGTAAAAATTAATAGGCCTTTCCCACCCTCTCTGCCCTAGTCAGATAGTAGGGATTTCTGATGGCTCAGTGGTAAGAAATTGTGCTGCCAAACCAAAGGTACACAGTTCAAATCTACCACCTGCTGCTCTGCAGGTGGTTAATCTCTTCTTATGCAGGTTACTGTTTTTTTAAAGCTCACTGGACAGTCAGCTATGAGTTGGTTCCAACTCCATGGTACATAACATGTGGAAGATTGTCCAGCTAGTGGATTTGAACCTCATGCCTTTGTGTTGACAGTGCAGCTCCTTGCCATTAAGCCACCAGAGCTCTCTCTGCCTAACAAGAGTCTCCTTTAATTATTTTTAGGAGAGAGAAATTTATATTAATTTGTTATATTTAATACCATGTGTCCATAAATTTCAATTTTTGAAACTTGTTTTATATAGAGCTTGTCACCAACTTACCATGAGATTCTTTCTAAAACCTCAATTGTTACTTGGTTCCGACATAATTTGAAAACCTCTTTTGAAGTGGGAAGGGTTCATTATAATTGGATTTTATTAGTAGTCATAATTGATGTTGTATACCATAGAGTTGGAACTGACCCATAGCTGACCCTCCAGAGGGTTTTCAGAGGCAGTTAATCGCACGAGAAGAGATCACCCATCCTTTTCTCACAGAACAGATGATGGCCTCCATGTGCCTTTGGGATTGCAGCATAGATTCTTGCCACTGTATGTTACATATGAATTTATAGATATGTTTTAGTACGTGTGTACATTAAAATATCAAAAAAATACAGCTTGATGATGAAGTAAAGTTTGACAGTGTTTTCATTTTGTCAGTTGCTGTAATAACTCCACTTCTCTGGATCTTCTGGCTTATAATATAAACAAATCATATCGTGTAACATTGCTTGTAGTCCATTTTACTAATGATAAACTGTGCCCAAACGAAACGAAACGAAACCAAACCAAACCAATGACTGTCACATTCCTAGTAGCTTAACTATGCTTTACAAGTCATAAACTACCTGTGGTACAGCAGAAATGGAGAAAAGTTACCTATTTACCCAAAGGCAAATGCTGCTCTTTTTATCTTCCAAACTCAGTCTCATTTGAGGATATCCCAATTACAGGATAGTCTCTCAAATGATTTAGATATTTAACAGGAACAAATGGTTCATGAGTTTGTAATTCTTCTCTTTGTTCTTTCTTTTAAAGATAGTGTTTTTAGAAGATGCCTCCCACCAAGAAAAACTGGCCAAAGAATGGTGCTTCAAACCGTGTGAAGTAAGAGAGCTGAGCCATCAGTAAGTCTTAACCAACTTCCTTTCTTCTGAATGTCATTAGTTAACTTTACACAATGGGAAACCTACTTGAGAAACAGAGACTCTGTTTTCAAAAGAGTGAGATGAGAAGGGGAAGATAACAGAAAGAGAGTAGGCAGCTGATGGAAGCTTTGAGGGTTTCTTTCTTCAACAAATGTGCACCAACTATGTGTAAGCACTAGGTACTAGTATGTCACCAGATTTCCTTGGCTAAAGACTGGGCAGATATTGAACAAACTGCTGACAGGGACTACTCTAAAATGCAAATGAACATAGGTGCTCATTTAAAGGTCAAGGTTTACTTGATCTAAGCCATGGTGTTTCCGGTTATTTCATATGCATGTGAAAGTTAGATAATGAAAGAAGACTGAAGAATTGAATTGTGTGGCAAAGAGTATTGAATGTCCTGAGGGCTGCCCAAAGAACACATTTGTCTTGACGGAAGCGAAGCCAGGGTGCTCCTTGAGTCAAAGATAGTCTCATACACCTTGGGCATGTTATCAGACTATGTTACCATTACTTGGAAAAGACATGATGCTTGGTAAAGTAGAGGGTCAGAGAAAAAGATCTTCAAGAGATATTGGATACAGTGACTACAACAATGGATTTACGCTCAGTAGAAATTGTGAGGATGGCAAGGTTTCAGTCTGTTGTCCATAAGGTTTCTCAGAGTTAGAGTTGATTTGATACCACATGATGCTTGGAGGGGTGGAGGGATAACATAGGAGAGAAAGATTCTGGATTAAATGAATTGATACAGGGACCAGGGTAATAGGGGCAGTTGTGTGAGAGACAGTGAGATTGGCTCAGGATAGGACAGGGTTTAGAACTGTTGTGCATAGGATCCTTGGGAGTTTCAGGCACGTGACAACAACAACAATGGCATCTTGTTGAGATCCTTAACAAACATCCTTGGCACCAGCAGTCAGAGAATCAAGAGATGAGTTCCACTGGGAGAGTCTGCTGTCGAGGACCTCTCCAGAGTGCTAAAGAGCAACAATGTCAGTCTAGGGACTAGGATATGCCTGATCCAGGGCATTGCATTCTCAATTGCTTGCTATGTATCTGAGATTCGGACAATGTCAAGGATGACAGGAGAAGAATCAATGTGATGCTGGAGAATAGTATTAAATATACCATGGATTGCAAAGAGAAAGAATGGTTCTAGACAGGGTGAATTGCCCCTAGGAGGCAAGTATTTTAAAACTCTGTGTCACATGCATATTTTGTGCATGTTGTCAGGAGGGACTGGGATTTTTTTTTTCTTTATTGCTCTTTTTCCCCTCTTGTTGTGTACTGTTGAATCAGATCCGACTGGCACAGGAGGAGATTGCCCCTCCTTCTTCAGCAGAGGATCTGGTGGGAGGGACCAGTGCTTGGAAGGATGGATGGTCAGCACAAGAAAGAAAGGTCCTGGTTTTGATCCATTGTCACAGTGAGAGATGGTAAGGTTGGCTCAGGATAGGACAAGGTTCCAACAGAACTATTGTTCATAGGGTCACTGTGAGTCACAGGTGATTCAATGGCACATAACAACAACAACAACAACACAATAATACAAGCTTTTACGTTAAATGGTTGTTTGAGGTGATTATGAAGTTCCTTTCTAGTATTGAAGGTCTGTGAGTTGTATTCTTCCTAAAACTTCTCAGCAGAAGGGCTGGTCACAGTCCAGAGAAACAAGCTTTGTTACACTTGCAGGTGTAATCCCATCTCCCACCTCATTCCCTCTTCCTGCTGTCTCTCCTTAGTCTTGGAAGCATTCCTGTGGTGGGTGTGGAATATTAACATAGGAACTTCTGCTGTTACCTTCTGTTTCCCCTGCTAGATTTCCATCAGGATGTATTTTGAGGGAAGGCTGACATTTATAGTCACCTGCTTGCTTGATTTTGGAATAGAGGGATTCAAAGGAGGTTTTGGAGATGCAGTGCTAAGAATTCTAACTTTGGTGGAAGGTGGAGGTTCTTGAAGGGGAACACTTTTTAAAGCCTAATTTTGTAGGCAAATCAATGTAAAATAAAAGTTTAAAAGTAATTCTCATATCAAACTGAGTTGAATTTGTCTCCTGATTAAAAGGCCATAGAAGTTGATGTCTCTAATGAAAATTTTAGTCAATTTGGCCCAATAGTATATTGAGAACATGATGTAGATTTTTAAAAATGAACATTACAGATGGAGTGCTTCAGCCATCCCTGAATGCTGCAGATAGTTACATACTCAACTACTAGCTGAGTTTGATGGTTCAAACTCACTAAGGGACATCTTGGAAAACAGGCTTAATGATCTACTTCTGGAAGTTGACAATCTGTAAGACGATTCTGTCTATGCCTGTACAGGCCTTAAGAGTCAGAATCAACTGAGTACTGAGAGTTGGTACTATCGTAGCAGGAGTGGATAAGGTTATGGCAGAGGCTACAGAAAGGTGCCGTGGGATCGAGTACGACTCATAGGGACCCTGTGAAGAGTAGTTCTGAACCCTGCCTTGTCCTGTGCCATCCTCCTCATTTCTGGCCTTCTTAAGCTCATTGCTGTAGTCACTGAGCAATCTGCCTGGTTGAGGGTCTCCTCTCTTTTGCTGCCCCTCCATCTTTCCAAGCATAATGTCCTCCTCCAAGGAATAGCCTCTCTTAACAACAAACCCAAAATATGTGAGATGAAGATTTCTCATCTTTGCCTACAAGGAACACTCTGGCTGGACTTTCTGTTTATTTGTTTTTTTGTTTTGTTTGGTGTTTTGGGGGGGTTTGTTTGTTTGTTTGTTTTTGGCAGTCCATTGACTATTCAGTACTCTTCTCCAAGACCGCAGCTCAAAGACATCAATTCCTCTTCTGTCAACCTTGTTCATTGTATGTTTTCAGATGTATAACAACTGATTGAAAATACCATAGCCTGAAGCAGGCACACCTTAGTCCTCAAACTGATATCATTTTTTTTTAGTAATTTGGAGAGGACCCTGACATCAGACTTTTTCAATAATAATATGTCTCCTGATCTCCTGACTGCTAGTGGCAAAGGTGTCGATTGTGAATCCAAGTAAGACGACAATTGACAATTTCAATCTTTACTCCATTTATCATGATGTTTCTTATAGGTCCAATGGTGACAATTTTTGTTTTCTTGTTGTTGAGATATAATCTGTATTGAATGCTATAGAGTCAACTAATTTGTTCAGAATACAGACTGAATAGGTGTGAAGAGAGGATACAACCCTGATGTGAACTCTCTTAGTTTTAAGCCATGTAGTGCTTTCTTGCTCTGTTCACACAACAGCCTCTTGATCTAGGTATAGGTTTCACATGAGCACAATTAAGTGTTCTGGGATTCCCATTCTTTTCAGTGTTAGACATCATTTTTCATGATCCACAGTCAAATGCCTTTGCACAGCCAATAAAGCATAAATAGACCTCTGGGCCTACTGCAGGGCTCAGCACCAGGAAACAGCAGTTTCAACACCACTTGGGCCTTACCGAGCCTTTGGACCCTACAGGCTTGGCACCGAAAGACAGCAGTTTCAACACCACCTGACCTTAGTTGGCCTTTGGGCCTAGAGCAGAGCTCAGTACCAGAAGACAGAAGATTTGACATCATTTGGTTGGGCCTTGGTCTATGAATAATAGAGGAACTTGGGTAGATATAATATTGGAGGTAGAACCCAGATTGGAACTCACTCAAAATGAGAAGAAGTAGCTCTAAATATCATTTAATAATTGGATTGTGGAATGTATGAAGCATGGATGGAGGAAAACTAGAAATTGTAAAAAATTAAACAAAACACATGAACATTGACATTCTAGGTTGGCACTGGACACTTTGAATTAGACAGTCACATGCTATACTATGCCAAGAATGAAAAAAAGAGCAAGAGTGGTATTGTATTTCTGGTTAATAAGTCAATCTTGAAGTACAATGTTGTGAGTGACAGGGTCCTATCCACATGCATACAAGAAAGACCTGTTAATGTGACTATTATTCAAATATACGCATCAACAGCTAGAACCAAGGAGGAGGAAATTGAAGATTTTCACCAAATCTTGCAGTCTGAAGTGGACCAAACATGCAATCAAGATGCGCTAATGATAATTGGTGACTGGGACTCAGCAGTTAGAAATAATGAAGGAAGGGTAGTCAGAAAGTATGGACTTGGTGACAAAGATGAGGCAGGAAATGGAATGACTGTATGCAGGCAGGATTTATAGGGCTGCACTCAGAATAATGTGAGTGAGGCATTTGTCAGAGGCACAGAATTGATGGGGTGGAGGTAAAAAAAGAACTCAGCATATTATGAAGTTGTGTTTTTGTCAATTTTTATTTTAAAAAATACTATGTTAAAATATTATTTTGTCTTGACTACTAAGTTTCCACACTTTAATTAAAGACAGATTTGTGTTTGTTTTTGCCCTTGTGTTTTTCTGCAATCTGTTTTCCTAAAACAGCCAGTGGAACCCGCCACCATCTCATTGAGCCTTACGCCACAGCTGTCAACAAGATATTAAGAATTTACAGCTGCCTCATATTTCAGCTTTAGACCTGTGTTGTGTGAACTAGTAAATAATTTATGGAGAGAAAGTGTGATTTAAAGATACAGAAAATGACAAAGGATGTTCTTAAATTCTTTCCGTCTCTTAATTCCTAGTGAATTCTTCATACCGGGGCTGGTTGATACACATATCCACGCTCCTCAGTATTCGTTTGCTGGAAGTAATGTCGACCTGCCCCTTTTGGAGTGGCTAACCAACTATACGTTTCCTACAGAACAGAAATTTAAGAGCATGGACTTTGCTGAAGAAGTATACACTAGAGTTGTGGTAAGTGCCTTGTTTGTAAATGTTGTAAATGTGTTATGTTTGTCATCTAGGAAACATTTACTCCTCTGGATAGATCCAGAATCTAAAATACAGGATGAACCATAGAGATGTTTCAATCTTTTCACAGCCCACTGAGTTTGTGACTTACTTACTGTTGTTGTTATGTACTGTTTGTTGAGTTGAAACTGACCCAAAGCTGACCTTCTGATGAGTTTTCAAAGACAGTAAATCTCACGGGAAGAGACTTCCCATGTTTCTCTCATGGAGCAGGTGGTAGATTTGAACCATGTTGGTAGCTGAGCTCCTTACCACTAGAAAACTAAAGCTTCTGCGTACCTTAAAATAGTGAGTAGCATAGAGAACTTGAACTCAAGTTGCCAAATCTCCAGTATGATGGATTTCTAACTCTTGGGACATGTTTGTTTACAACTCTAGGGCTTGATACACATATGTATTCTGATCTCCAATGCTCTTCTGAAGGTCATATTGAGTATCTCTTTGATCTTTGAAAAGGTCTGGGACTCATTTTTCCCTATTGTGGAAATATAGTGCCTGCCTGATGAAATTGTTATAATAATAAAGCAAATCAGTATTTTTTGAGATTCTTAAACTAGTGCCTGGCACATGGTAAGTGTCCTACAGGTTTGTTTTTTTAAAAATACTCGAAGCAATTAAAAAGGAAAATTTCTCGTTACTGTCAGAAGGACGCTGCATTCATTTGGTGATTTCTCAAAGAAGGAAAACAGAATGGTCCCATATTGCAAGGCACTTGGAACGGTGCCATGAACACTCACACCACTAGAGGGGACTGTGGGGCCAGTTTAGTCATTGAACACTGGTTGAAGTATTTGCCCACTGTGTCTGCAGAGCTCTGAAAACGCCCTGCCTTCTACTCTCTGAAGAAAATCAACTCCCGTCTTTCCACTCCAGCCTTACTCCAGCCTGCGCAGTAACTCAAAACAGGTTCCGCCAACAGAGAAGTGAAGGCTGCAAACCTACCCCACCCCCCAATCTTCTTATCCGACTACAAACTCCTGCTGTTCTGCAGTTAGTCTGGACATTGCTAAGTGTTGGACCTTGGATTGTTTTTCTGCTAAGATGTTGGCTATGTGGTGGTGACAGTATTATAAGCTTACACAGTGTTCTACTCACTCTGCCAGTTGCCTGGTTTTGCAACATTCAAGTCTTGAAAAAAATAGAAGCAATTGATGCTATTAATCTTAATATACTTGCCTCACTTAATTATGAATTCAGTGCAATTATGTATCTTACATATTTAGCATGCATGCACTCAACACCAGAAAAGCTGAGAAGGGGTAAAGCTGTGTATTAAGTTGCTGGTGCACTGTGTTAAAAATGAAGTGTGTTAACCACACTAGATCTTTTACATTCTCAACGTTTATTTATACCTCACATTGTTCCAAAAAGAGTTCGAGATGGCTTAAAATTGCATAGTATACAACAAAAGGAAATTAGTCATGAAATCACAGCAAAAGAATAAAATGATAAGAGAAGAGTAAAAATAACACAGATAAAACTAGGGGAGAATGTGCACTTTGCGGTCGGAGCACTTGTTAGAGTTTGTCACAAATTTGGTTTTAAATTTTTAGCAACTGACTTGGGAAAGTCAGTTATGAAATTTGCATTGCACATGCACTCAAAAGACAATGTTTTTCAAAGATAGATAGATTTACCATACTGAAATGTGATAAAATCGGCCCCCACAATATGGATAGATGCCAACATATAGCTCAGTCAATTTACAGTCTTAATTTGCAATCCCTTTTGTGTAGTGTATCTATGATTATAGATCGTTCCTTCAGTTGGAGCTGCAGAAATACTGCTTCTTAAACCTGAGATTTCTTGACTATCTCTTTAAGCATTTGATGACAGTGAATGAGGTCAGGTTTTACTCCTGACTAGTATTTGCAGGCTAAATATCCTGTGTTCTAGTTCCAGGGAGGCCCACACATTTAACAGCTGGCTAAATTGAGGATGCTGTTGACATCTGTGTAAGACAGTTGGGGTTGTTAACTAGAGCCTCTGCTGAAGGCTTCCTGTACCTATGCCAAAGAGAGTGTCTATGAATAGAATTGAGATTATTTTTGTGTGCATACCCTAGATTGGAATAAATTCTAGATCTGCTTTAACCAATGAACAATTAAGAACCCTAGTGTGTTGTAACCTTGTAAAAACAGTGCAGCGAGCATGAGGGCAGCAAAGCCTGACCTCTATTAACTCCACAGGGGGAAAAATATCCCCATCAACAATAACAGTGCAAGGCCCATGAGGCTAGGCATGTCCCTCACTCCCACTCTTTCTTTTGTCTATTAGTTCTAATACCCACCATCCCTCTCATGGCTCTCACCACTCACCACTTGCCCATCAAGCTTGCTAATTCACTAAGTAGCTAATCCACAAAGACCTCAGACAATGTTGACCATCATGGGGCTTATTAGAGAGATGGCAGAAGCAGCCATGGATCTTGTGGGATGCCATTGCTGATGTTAGAGGGATCATGGCTGAAAGCAGGGAATACCAGACAGGCATTGACTTGTGTTTTAATGATTGTGCAAAGGCGTTTGACTTGTAGATCATAAGAAATAATGGATATTAGAAGAATGAGAATCCCAGGACACTTAGACTGTGCTAATGAGAAACCTGTACCTTGAAGAAGCAGCAAAGCAGCTGTTCAAACAGAACAAGAGGATATTGTCTGGTTTCAAGTTAGGAAGAGAGTGCATTAAGATCATATCCTTTCTCTGTACCTATTCAATATATATGCTGAGAAAGTAAGAAGAGAAACTGAACTATATGAAGAATGTGGTATCAAGATCGGGGGAAGTTACTAATTAAAAACCTGTGCTATTCATATGACACAACCCTGCTTCCTGAAGGTAAAGAGGACTTGACACACTTACCGCAGGACAAGAAACACTACAGTATGGTGTAGATTTCCGCGATATTTAAAAAATGGAAGCACACTTCTTCCCAACTGGATCAATAGGCAACATAATGATAAGTAGAGAGATTATTGAAATTGTCAAGGACTGAATTTCATTTGGATCCACAATCAACACTCACAGAAGTAACAGCACTACAACAAGATAAAGGTAAACAATACAGTTGAAAAATGGACACAGGATATGAACAGACACTTCACCAAAGAAGACATTCTGATGGCCAACAAGCACATGAAGAAATCTTCAAAATCCCTAGGTCTAAGAGAGATGCAAATAAAAACAACTATGAGATATCATCTCACCCCAGTCAGAATAGCAAAATTTAACAGAACAGCAAGCAACAAATGCTGGCGAGGTTGTGGAGAAACTGGAACCCTTATTCAGGGTTGTTGGAAGTGTAAAATGGTGCAACCAGTGTGGAAGGTGGTGTGGCACTTTCTCAAAAAGTTGCAAATAGAGATACCATTTGACCTAGCAATTCCACTACTGGGAATATACCCCAAAGAGACCATAACTGACATTGAAGTATATATATGCACACCCATGTTTATTGCAGCTTTGTTCACAATAGCAAGAAGTTGGAAACAACCTAAGTGCCCATCAACAAACTAATGGATAGGGGAGCTGTGGTATATTCACACAGTGGAATACTACACTGCATTGAAAAACAAGGAACTCATGAAATACTATTAAAAATGGATGACCCTGGAAGACATGCTGAATGAAATATCTCAGTCACAAAAGGACAAATACTGCATAGTGCCACTGTTGTAAAACAGGACTGACATAGAGGTTGGGTGGAGTCTGAGAAAGATGGGATAAATAATGTATAAATACTGCATTGAAACAGATGAGGTAGAGAACTGTTTAAAAGGTATATGTGATTAGCTAATTTTGTAATGATGGGAGTCCAGAGTGAAGGCTGCATAGCGGAGTGGACCTGAGGGGAGGGATTGTAAAACAATGAAAGAATTTTTCCTTTACTTTTCAGGGAAAGGAGTGTACTGGGGGGGAGGGGTGGGAGAAAATTGCAACAATGAATGAATGGAAATCCAAAGTCCCTATAAATTTTCATTAAAATTAATAATAGCAATAATAAAAGGAAAAAAAGAAGCAGCAGTTAGAAAATCAAATGACATATTGCATTGGGAAAATCTGTTTTCATGAACCTCTTTTAGGTGCTGAAGAGCAAAGAAGTCAGGTTAAAGAGTAAGATGCTCCTGATTCTATCTATGGTATTTTCAGTTGCTTCATATGGATTTGAGAGTTGGATACTGAATAACTTGTTGTTGTTGTTCTTGTTGTTGTTGTTGTTGTTAGGTGCTATCAAGCCAACTACAGCTCATAGCAATCCTGTGACCAACAGATCTGAACCCTGCCCTGTCTTGTGCCCTCCTCATCTCTGACATACCCGAGCCTATTGCAGCAGTCACTGTGTCAATCCAGCTGGTTGAGTGTCTTCCTTCCTCTCTTTTGCTGACCCTCCACCTTTCCAAGTGTGATGTCCCTCTCAAAGGAATAGCCTCTCTTAGCCCAAAGCGTTATTATACTGGCAAAACAAAGGTACATGGTTTGAATACGCCAGCTGCTCTGAGGAAAGATGGATAGTATCCCCTTTGAAGATTTGCTGCCTCTGAAAAACTTCACTGGAGGATCAGCTACGGGTTGCTTTTGACTTGATGGCACACAACAGCAACAACAATTGTGTCATTGACAAAAAATATTGAATATGCTATGGATGGTCAGAAGAAGTCCGGGAAGGAATTTAGGCCAGGTGCTTCTTAGAGGCAAAAATGGTAAGACTTCTTCTCACATATTTTGTGAATGTTTTCAGGAAGGACAAGTCTCTGGAAAGGGACATCAGACTTGGAGAGGTGGAGGGTCAGAGAAGGACATCAATACCCTCTGGATTGATACAGTGTCTGAAATAGTGGGTTTAAACACACTGGACGATATAAAGATGGCACAGTCATGTGTAAGGTTTTGATCTATTGTACATAATGTTCTTATGAATTAGAGTGGACTTGATGGTACCCAACAACAACATTTTACAGAAAGAAACTGTAAAATTGGTTCTAGAAAGAAGGAATGAAGAAAACAAATATTTATTGAATATCTGAAATATCGAGAACTTTCTACCTATTTATCACCCTTACTGATTGTGGTAACCCTGTGCTTTACTTTGCTGTTTTATTGACTGAGGAGTTGGAGTTAGCTTGACTACACCCACTTAGCAATAGCAGGTGACAATCCAGGTTGGACATATTCAGGATATGATTTTCTATCAATGCTATGTCTCCTCAGGAGTGCTGCCAGATATCTTTCTGACCCCTGGTCAGAGACTCTGAACTCTGCATCATAATTGGAAAAGAGTTGGAGTTTGAAGAAACTCAGCTCTGGCTCGATGGGCAGTGAACCTAGGTCAGCTCTGTCTCCACTGGATGTTGGGTTTCTGCTACTTCTGCTGGTGCTTCCATCACTGCTAGTGTCACTGTCTTGGTCTTGCCCCATCTTGTGCAGTAATCTCTAGCCCAAAGGACTCATTACACTTGCTATTTATCTTTTTCTAATAATGAGAAGGTGGGCCACATACACTTTACTTTTGTATAGTCCTATATTGATGCATGAAACTTCATCTCACGTACTTTGGGCATGTTTTCAGGAGAGGCAAGTCTTTGGAAAAAGACATCATCCTGGAAAAAGTCAGGGGCCAGCAAAAGAGAGGAAGACCCTCAACAAGATGGACTGACATAGTGACTATACCAAGGGGCTCAAGTATGTTGAAGATGATGAGGATGGGACAAGATTCAAATCTGTTGTTCATAGGGTCTCTATGAGTCATGGTCAACTGGATGGACCCCAACAACAACCACATAGGCATGTTGTGAGAGCTAAAGTCAATGGCTAAAAAAGCCATACAGAAAAAGCTTTAAACTCCTGGAAGTTTGCAGATTCAAATTGGGCTGGAGTGAATGAAATGAACAAGCAAACAAACCGACCAACCAAAAAACCGCCAAAAACTAGAAAGGGAAGGAATCTACCCAAATACTAATCAGTGGTCTGGGTAGGAAGGTCTTGTCTTAGTGAGTGTTCCATTTCCTTGTAAATATTCACCTCCTTAATAGAGTGGACACACATATACTGTGGAGTCATCAATGATTTGGCAGATAAATAAAGATAACCTTCTTAGTGAGAATTTGAAGCAAGATTGGGAGATGTAGAAAACTTTTAGTGCCCCTTCAGGTAGATTTTTTAATAAATAGTAAGAAATAAGGGAGCTCTGATGGCCTAGTGGCAAGAAGCTGCACTATAATCCCAGAGGAATGTGGTTCGAATCCACCAGATGCTCTGCTGGAGAAGGAGCGTCAATCTCCTCCTGTACCAGTCAGATCCAATTTGATGGTACACACACACACACACACACACACACACACACACACACACAAAATTTGTTGTTGTTGTTATGTGCCGTCGAGTCGTTTGCGACTCATAGCAACTCTGTGTACAACAGCCCTAAACCCTGCTCTATCCTGTGCCAATCTCATTGCCTCTGACACACCCATCCCGAGTACCCCAGTCACTGAATCAATCCACCTCATAGAGGGTCTTCCCCTCCTGCACTGTCCCTCCACTCTCCCCAGCATAATGTCCCTCTCTAAAGACCTGTCTCTCCTTACAACATGTCCAAAGTATGTCAGGCGAAGCCCCAGAATCCTTGCCTCCAAGGAGCAGCCTGGTTTAACCCTTTCTACGATGAATCTGTTTGTTTTCTTGGCAGTCCATGGTACATTCAATACTCTTCTCCAGCACCACAGCTCAAAGGCGTCAATTCTCCTTCTATCCTCCCTAGTCATTGTCCAACTCTCTGATGCATAACAAGTGATTACAAAAACCATGGCCTGTATCAGGCGCACCTTAGTCTCCAGAGAGACACCATTGCTCTTGAGTACTTTAGAGAGGTCCCTAACTGCAGACTTTCCCATCGCAATACGTTTTCTAATTTCCTGGCTACTGGTGCCAAGAGTGTTGACCATGGAGCCGAGCAAACTGAAGCTGTGAACAATCTCAATCTCTTCACCATCCATCCTGATGCTACCGATTGGTCCAGTGGTGAGAATCTTTGTCTTCTTGATATTGAGCCTCAGTCCATATTGAAGGCTGCAGTCCTTGACCCTCTGCAGTAAGTGCTTGAGGTCCTCCTCAGTATTAAAATAAGATAAAATGAAATAATTTTAAAAATAGTTATTAATGGAGCAACTCCCCTTATAGCCCATGAGCTCCTCATGTGAATGGGGCCTGAGGAGCCTGGACATAGACTGCAGGAAAGGAAAACTGAAAGACCATGTGTGTCACTTCGAGCTGCAGCAGCATCTCGTATACTTCACTCATCCCAAGAAATAAGGAATTAGCATCACATCTGATGAATTCTGAAACAGAATCATGCCAAACTAGAAAACCAAAAGCCTCATTGTACCTTCGAAATAAGGCTTGGGGAACAGAAATACTTTTCTCATTTACCTTAACTATGATCCTGTCAAGATGGCATACTTCTCAGAGAATGTTTTAAAAGGAAGAACGAGAACTTTGTCTTCCCACTGTGCCATGTGACTCCTCTGGGCACACACGATTCATGCTTTTTTTGTGATTTATTTTTAGAGGAGGACGTTAAAGAATGGAACAACCACGGCCTGCTACTTTGGAACAATTCACACTGACTCATCCCTGCTCCTCGCGGAAATTACAGGTGAGCCGATGAGCGCTTGATTTATGGGCCCATCAGGCAAAGACAGCCAGACCAGGGCTGGTAGCAATTTATATTTGAGCAAAGTACTGCCTTTTACTTGTTAGAACCTTAGCACTGTATTTCTTATGGGTAAATAAGTGTCCTTGATTCTGTATTTGCCATTATTTACTTATTTATGTGCAATGAATTGTTACAATGGTCCTTGAATGTTTAATATTATTATAGCTATTTGATTACCTACTTACGGGTAGTGATTCTAGACTCTTGTTGAAGGATTTTAATTTTGTAGATTGATTTTGCACTTTTTCAGCTGTATCCATTCTAGCTGAGGCAGCACTTATTTTATAACCCATAGACATGGCTTGACCACTCTCTAGACCCTGGGCACTGTGCTAGATGCTGGGAACATGGTGACTCAGACAATGGTCTGTGCCCTTGACAGGCCAGACAGGACACCTACAGGCATTGATTAATAAGTGAGGTACCAGGCATGATGTTGTTACTTGATGGCTGGTATTGTGCAAAGTACTCTAGGTGATTCTCTCAACTCCCCATGAACATTTTCATGAGATGATTATTAATGTCCCTGTGTGACAGATATATGAAGCAATGGCCGAAGAGATTGGGTAATATGCTAAGATTAAAGACACACAACTAATAGGTAGAGCTGAAACCTGATTTTGGCTGTTAGTTCTAATATATGTACCGAGTCGAGTCCTTAGAGGGAGCTCTGGCAGCCTAGTGGATAAGGAGCTGAGCTGCCAGCCCAAAGGTATGCAGTTCAAATATACCTACTGCTCTGCAGGAGAGAGGGATGGTATCCTTCTGTGTGATTTACTGTTGCTAGGGACTCTCTGGAGGGTCACTTATGACTTGGTTTTAAATGAGTGGCACAAAATAACAGTAGAGTGCTTAGAAAGAGCCTTTTTCGTGTCGTGGTGAAGGATTTGACCATTAACGTAAAGGTGGGCAGTTCAAGCCACTCAGTGGCTCTGAAAGAGAAAGACCTAGCAACCCAGTTCTGTTAAGATTACACCTAAGAAAACTGTAGGGAGCAGCTATACCGAGTCACATGGGGTTCCTCTGAACTCAACTCAATGGCACACAACAACAACAGTGTCTGGTGCGTAGCAAGTGCATAGTAGATCCTTGGCCACCTTACTAATATGACCACTTGTTGGCCATGGTGGATATATCATATGCCCAGTGTATGGCATGAAATGGAAATACTGCCATGTTTAGGGGAGGCAAAAATCGTGTGCCTGGGGCATCAGTTATGATTTTAAGGATAGACTTCAAACTGGACTCTGAAGGGAAGATGAATGGAAGGGAAAAGGGGAAGATCTTCTAGACTGAGGAAATGACAAGAACAAAGGTATGGGACAGGAATGCTGACTGTGGGTCCAGCAAACTGGAAGCAGAGTAGTACAACCAAGAATGAGCATTCATTTCATGAGGTGAGAGATGAAGTTGGGTGCACAGGATGGCTCAGACAATGAAGCTTGAACCTGAAGCCAGGAGAATGACATGGTGAAAGTGAGGTTTTAAGGAATGACAAGAGACAGAGAGAGAGTCATGGGGAGACTTTTCATATAACCTAGTGACTCCTAGAGAGGGTGAAGCCAGGCTGCTCCTTGGAGGCAAGGATTCTGAGGCTTCGTCTGACATACATTGGGCATGTTGCAAGGAGGGACCTGTCCTTGGTGAGGGACATCATGCTTGGAAGATTGGAGGGACGGAGAAAGAGAAGGAGATGAGATGGATTGATACAGTGCCTGGAGTAATGGATGTAGCTGTATTAGACAGTAAAGTTGACACAGGATAGAGTAGGTTTTAGGGCTGTTGTACATAGGGTTGCTATGAGTCACAAGCGACTCGATGGCACATAACAACAGTGAACAAAATGTAAAATATAACATTGTTCTTTACAGCTTCCCTTTTAAAACCAGAATAAAATTACTCAAGCTCTTCCAGTGAGAACTAGCGAGTTCTTTAATACTGACAATTGCTATATGACCACTCAAAACTCTCTACAAAGAATGATACTGGCTTTGCTCCAGATAAGAACAGAGGTAGCATCTTTTTTGAGTCCTGGACCAGACACTTTATATGCATTTGTTGTACTGACTTCTCCTTGTTGTTGTTGTTGTCACTGAGTCAGCTGGAACACACAGCAACCTTAAGTACAGCAGGAGGAAATGTTGCCTAGTTCTGCACCATTTTCTACTGTTTTGTTGTAGTCATTGCTGGTAATTTTCTGTCAATGCATCTTATTGAAGGCTTCTCAGTTTTTGTTGGTCCTCTACCAACAATAAAATATACAAGAAGCTGGAGTCAGAAAATCAAAAGGGCCGAACTCGCTCAGCAGTTCTTAAGCTCAAGGAACTGAAGAACAAATTCAAACCTCGAGTTGCTATAATCAAGGATGCTTTAGGCAAATTATTAAACCATCCAGGAAGTATTAAAAGAAGATGGAAAGAATATACTGAGTCACTGTATCAAAATGAATTGGCAGCCTTAGAAGAATTTAATGAAACAACATATGAACAAGAGCCTATGGTGATGAAAGAAGAAGTTGAGGCTGCTTTGAAGGAAATAGCCAAAAACAAGGCCCCAGGAATAGATGGTCTACCAATTGACATATTTCAGCTAACAGATGATGCCCTGGATGTGCTCACCAAGTTGTGCCAAGGAATCTGGAGAACAACCACTTGGCCAAATGACTGGAAGAAATCCCAAAGAAGGGTGACCCAACATAGTGTGGAAACTATAGAACAATATCATTGATTTAACATCCAAGCAAGATTCTACTGAAGATCATCCAAAAATGACTGGAACAGCACATCAGCAGAGAAATGCTAGAAGTCTAGGCTGGGTTTAGAAGGGGTCATGGTACTAGGAACATTGTAGCTAACGTTAGATGGATCTTGGCTGAAACCAGGGAATACCAGAGGAATGTCTATCGGTGTTTCATTGACTATGCAAATGTGTTTGACTGTGTGGATCATAACAAATTGTGGCTGACTTGAGAAGAATGGGAATCCCAGAACACTTGATCATGCTAATGTGAAACCTATACTTGGACCAAGAGGCAGTTGTTAGAACAGAGCAAGGAAACACTGCATGGTTCAAAATTGGGAAGGGCGTACACCAGGCATGTGTCCTGTCTCAATTCCTTATCAACCTGTATTCAGAACAGATTATCCGGGAGGCTGGGCTCTATGAGGAACAATGTGGGGTCAGGATTGGTGGAAAATCTATCGACAATCTGCGATATGCAGATGACACAACCCTGCTTGTTGAAACTGAGGAGGACCTGAAGTGCTTGCTGCAGAGGGTCAAGGACTGCAGCCTTCAATATGGACTGAGGTTCAATGTCAAGAAGACAAAGATTCTCACCACTGGACCAATTGGGAGCATCAGGATGGATAGTGAAGAGATTGACATTGTTCAAAGCTTCAGTTTGCTTGACTCCACAGTCAACACTCTTGGCAACAGCAGCCAGGAAATTAAAAGACATATTGTGATGGGAAAGTCTGCTGTTAGGGACCTCTCCAAAGTACTGAAGAACAACGGTGTCTCTCTGGAGACTAAGGTGCGCCTGATACAGGCCATGGTCTTTGCAACCACTTGTTATGCATCAAAGAGTAGGACAATGACTAGGGAGGATAGAAGGAGATTTGATGCCTTTGAGCTGTGGTGCTGGAGAAGAGTATTGAACGTACCAGGGACTGCTAAGAAAACAAAAAGTTTCCTCCTGGAGAGGGTTAAACCAGGCAGCTCCTTGGAGGCAAGGATTCTGAGGCTTCATCTGACATACTTTGTACATAAGGAGGGACCAGTCCTTTGAGAGGGACATCATGCTTGGGAGGGTGGAGGGACTGTGCACGAGAGGAAGGCCCTCTGTGAGGTGAATTGATTCAGTGACTGAGATAATCAGGATGGGTGTATCAGAGACAGTGCGATTGGCACAGGACAGAGCAGAGTTTAGGGCTGTTTTACATAGCATCGTTATAAGTCACAAGCGACTCGGTGGCACATAACAGCAACTACCAACAATGACGTCTTATATTACCAATTTCTAGAAATTGGTAACATAATCTTGCACATACTAGAGGACACTGAACACATCAAGGTTTGGACCTTACATAAATATGCATGCTGGTTTAAGTAGGAATAAAGTAACATACCTTAAGTTTGCCCAGCACTCAATGCCCATGATTTTATCAGTAGATAAGGGAAAAGAATGTGAAACAGGCCTTGCTAAGGGAGATAGATAGAATAATAGACAAGAGGGAGATGATGAGAATGGATGGGGATGAAGAAAAAGACTGTGTTATGTCAAAGAATAATAAAAATGTTCTTCAGGAACAGAGGATGTCTGCTCCTTTAGCATGAAATGAAAGTAGATGACAACTATTGCTTTAGTAAAGTCATAAACAAACTGGGTAAATGAAAGGAAGAGCTGAATAAACAAAACAAACAAACAAAAAAACAACAACCCCCAAAACACAAAAACCTAACAAGCAAACCCAGCTCAATTATTGTTTTCTGTGTATGGAGTGAGGTGTGGATCTTGGTTGAGTTTTCTGCAGATAGTTTTCCAGTTTTGCCAACACCAGCTGTTGTTATTTGTATACTCTGGGAGCAGACCTGGGAGAGAGAGTAGATTTGCATGATGAATGTTTTTCGGTGCCATTGAGTTGACTCATAAAGATCCTATGAAAAACAGATCTGAACCTTGACCTATCCTGTGTGGTTTGGATGATCTCTGATGCTCACGCCCACTCATTGTGTCAATACACCTCATCAAGGGTTTTTTCTTTCAATAACCATCACCTTTTGAAGCATGATGTCTCTCTCCAAGGATGAGTTCCTTCTGAAAATATACTCAGCTTCACCATCCTTGCTTCTAAGGATCACTATGGTTGTGGTTCCTCCAAGTTGAATTTATTTGTTCTTTTGGCAGACCTTGGGATAGTCAGTCTGGTCATCAACACCACAATTTAAAGGCATCTTTTCTTCTGTCTTCCTTATTGACTGCCCAATTTTCAGATGTATAAGAAACAATAGAAAAGACCATGACTTGGATCAGGTGCACTTTTGTCTTTAAACTGTCAGCCTAGTTCTTTAAAATTTTGGAGAGGTCTGTGGCAGCCTATTCCTCAATGCAGCTAGTCTTGATTTCTTGACTGCTGGTACCATGAGTTTTAATTGTGTATCCAAATAAAATTAAATAATTGACAACTTCAATCCTTTCTCCACCCTCCATGATGTTGTTTGTTAGCCCAGTGATGAGGATTTTTATTTTCTTGATGTTGAGATGTAACCCATATTGCTGGCTATTGTCTTTGATGTCCTGCAGGAAGTCTTTCCAATCCTTATCACTTTCTGCACATAAGGTGTGTCACCTGCATAACCCAAGGTGGTTGAACAGTCTTTCTCCAATTCTGATGCCATATTCTTCTTCATATAGTCCAGTTCCTCAAATTATTTACACTCAGAATACAGATTGGATAGGTATAGAGAAAAGATACAACCCTAAAATACACCTTTTCTGATTTTAAACCATGCAGTATTCTTATTCTGTTCAGACAGTTGCTTCTTGATCTAGGTATAGGTTTCACATTAGCACAATAAAATATTCTAGGATTTTAGTTCTTAATGTTAGCCATTATTTGTTCTAATACACACAATCAAATGCCTTTGCATAATCAGTAAAGCACAAGTAAATGTCTCTCTGATATCCTCTGCTATTGGTGTGAATATTTACCTAACATCAAGAGTGATATCCTTTGTGCCATGACCTTTTCTGAATCCAGCTTAAATTTGTGGCATCTTCCTGCCATGCACTCTTCCAATCATTTTTTTCTTTCTTTTTTTTCCAATCATTTTTTAAATAATCTTCAGCAATATTCTTCATGTATATGATCCTAATGTTAATGTTGATAGTTTCCTCATTTTTTGGACCACTTTTTTGGGGAATGGGGAGAAATATGGATCTATTCCAATCAGTTGGCCAGATTTCTGTCTTCCATATTAGTTGGTAGAGACTGAAGAGCACATCTAGGAATGCATCTGTTTTCTAAAATACCTCAATTGATATTGTTGTTGTTGTTACGTGTCCTTAAGTCGCTTGCAACTCATAGTGACCCTATCTACAAGAGCCTTAAAGCCTGCTCTATCCTGTGCCAACCTGTCTCTGACACACTTATTCTCGCCACCCCAGTCACTGAATCGATTCATCTCATTGAGGGTCTTCCTCTCCTACGCCGTCCCTCCACTCTCCCAAACATGATGTCCCTCTCCAAGGACCTGTCCCTCCTGGAAACATGTCCAAAATATGCCAGACGAAGCTTCAGAATCCTTGACTCCAAGGAGCAACCTGGCTTCACCCTCTCCAGGATGAACTTGTTTGTTCTCATGGCAGTCCATGGTATATTCAACACTCTTCTCCAGCACCACAGCTCAAAGGCATCAATTCTAGTCTATCAATTTTTAACTGATTCTTTTCCATGGACTTACTCCTCAGTACTACTGGCTCGTGATCATGTTCTACTTCCTGAAATGGTTCCGTGTTGATCAATTCCTTTTGTTACAGTGGTTCTGTATTCCTCCTATCTTCTGTTATTGCTTCCTGCATCACTTAAAATTTTGCCCACAGAATCCTTCAATATTGCAACTCAAGGCTCAAATCTGTTTTTCAGTTCTTTCAGCTCAAGAAAATTCTGAGCATATTCTTCCCTTCGGATTTTTGGAACGCCAGTTGCTTGTACATATCATTATAATACTTTGCATTGTCTTTTCAAACTGCCCTTTGAAATCTGTTCAGTGCTTATAGGATTCCTTCCCCTTGTTTGGACTTCTTTTCTTTCCAATGCAAGTTTCTGTGTCTCTTCTGATATCCACTTTGGTCATTTCTTTCTTCCCTGTCATTCTGTCCTTTTGCTTTCTTCATGGATGGGGCGTTTTGATGTCATCCCACAACTAGTCTAGTCATCAATCATTAGTGTTCAATGTTCAATCTATTCTTAAGGTGTTTTTGTGTGTGTTTTTTTTAATTCAGCTGTAATACATTTAAGATCATATTTTGGTTCTTAAAGAATTGTTTTCATTGTCCTCAGTGTCAACTTTAGGTTTCATATTAGTAAATGAGGGTCTGTTCCACAGCCAGTCTGGCTTTGACTGCTGATATTGAGCTTCTCCAATGATTCTTTTCCCAGATATAGTTAATTCCTGTGAAGTCCATCAGGTGAAGTACATGTATATAGTCACTGTTTAAGGTTGGTTTTCTTAAAAAAAATAGTATTGGCAAGGAATAAAGAATTCATTCAAAATTCTTCTTTTGTAATTTCCAGCATCATTTCTAGTCTCCCAGACCATATTTTCAAATTACCGGTCCTTCTTTGTTTCCAGCATTTGCAGTCCAATCATCAATTATTAATGCATCTTGATTTCATGTTCAATAAATATGACTATAAAGAACATTTAGTAGTTAGTATTTGGCAGCTACCACCCATCTAGCAATTTAGTGCCCTGTGGTAACCAGTGTATTGCTGTAATCTTCAAGGTGTTTCAAATACCAGCAAAGTCACCTATGATGGGCAGACTTCTATGGAGCTTCCTAAAACAGACTAGAAAGAAAGGTCTTGAAATTTCTCTCTAAAAATTAACCAATGAAACTCTTAGGAGTCACAACAGAACATTGTCCGACTTGCATGTTTTTAATCCACCCTCAGGAGAGATAAATTATTTGAGGACATGATGTTTGGTGGTGTAAGGGGCCAGAGAGAGCAAGGGAAACCCTTGGCATAATAGCTAAAATATGGGGCTTAAACTTGCTGGCGTCATGAGTATGATACAGGATCAGACAAGGTTCTGTTGTTCACTTCTGAATCCAGCTTAAATTTGTGGCATCTTCCTGCCATGCACTCTGAGCCATAATGTGGCTCAGTGGCACCTAAGAGTAAATTTAGCTATGTTTTGGCTGTGGTTGTTAATTATTCTTAACTATTATGATGATGGGTAATCTTTTAAATTCTGGTTTATGCTTTTAATAAGGATTTTCATTTTTACTTGTTCTTAAAAGACTCAGAAAACTTCCTGTTGTGAAAGTAGTAGTATCATAGATTCCTGTCATGTGTGCTTTGCAGATAAATTTGGGCAACGAGCTTTTGTGGGCAAAGTGTGCATGGATTTGAACAATTCTGTACCAGAATACAAGGAAACCACCGAGGAATCAGTCAAGGAAACTGAAAGGTAAGATGCCCACTTGTCTTTATTAGTTAAAGAGGAAGATAGGAAATCAGTTGTGGGGGAGTCAATGTGGAGGGACCAGGGCTCCTTGCTTCTGTTACTGCTGGGTGTAGAGCTGGCTCACCAGAGATGGTGGAAAATCTGCTGTGGAAAAATCTTAACTTCAAAGAATAGAACTTGATATATTGATCATTATAGTGTTCATTTCCTTTGAGATGGGACTGACTTACAGCTGACTTTCCAGCAAGTTTTCAGAGACTTTAAATCTCAGGGGAGGTGATTGTCCATCTTTCTCTTAAGGAGAAGCTGGTGGATTTGAACCACCTAGGTTGATAGCAAAATGCCCCATGCCAGTCCATCTCATCTCACCAATGCCTAGTATGTCAATATTTATGCGTTCCATTTCTTCCTTAACAATATCTAATTTTCCTACATTCATGGTTCTCACATTCCATGTCCCAATCACCAGTGTCTGCTTACAACTGTTCCTCTTCCTTTGTATTTCCATACTTGAAAACTCAACCTCCTTTGCCATTTCTGTTATCTAAATGTGTTCTGTTGTACATAGGGTTTTCAGAGGCCTGCTATTTCAGAAGTGGATGGCCAATCCTTCTTCCTAGTCTGTCTCAATGTGAATGTTCAGATTTAGAGAAGTATTAGACAGACCAGCAAGTTAAAAGTATATCCCTTATTGCGGAGTTAACTTTAGTGTGTGTTGTCCCTGCCTTTCTTACATGCACCTTTACGCACTTATTTCCTGCTTCACCATCCCACAGGATATCCATCCACTTCTACCCCCTCCCTTCACATCTATCTCCCTTTCACCAGCCCTCCATCTAATAACTTATATATGAAGCTTCCATGGCTTCTGTGATTTCAAACACATCAGCTGATGGTAGTTCCTTATGTTGGGATCAGTGTCTCTGAAGTTTAGTCGCAATATTTATCTGTCAAAGGTGATGCATCCTGCAGACTTGCTGTGTAGATAGGGATGCATCCTATCTCCATACCTTTTCAACCTATATGCAGAACAGATTATCCGGGAGGCTGGGCTCTATGAGAAGAAATGTGGGGTCAAGATTGGTGGACGATTTATCAACAATCTGCGTTATGTGGATGACACAACCCTGCTTGCTGAAACTGAGGAGGACCTGAAGCGCCTGCTGCAGAGTGTCAAGGACTGCAGCCTACAATATGGATTGAGGCTCAATGTCAAGAAGACAAAGATTCTCACCACTGGACCAATTGGCAGCATCAGGATGGATGGTGAAGAGATTGAGATTGTACACAGCTTTAGTTTGCTTGGCTCCATAGTCAACAGTCTTGGCACCAGCAGCCAGGAAATTAAAAGGCGCATTGCCATGGGAATGTCTGTTGTTAGGGACCTCTCCAAAGTGCTGAAGAGCAGTGGTGTCTCTCTGGAGACTAAGGTGCGTCTGATACAGGCCATGGTCTTCGCAATCACCTGTTATGCATCAGAGAGTTGGACAATGACCAAGGAGGATAGAAGGAGAATTGATGCCTTTGAACTGTGGTTCTGGAGAAGAGTATTGAGAATACCATGGATTGCTAGGAAAACAAACGGATTTGTCCTGGAGAAGGTTAAACCGGGTGGCTCCTTGGAGGCAAGGATTCTGAGGCTCCGTCTAACATACTTTGGACATGTGAGGAGAGACCAGTCCTTAGAGAGGGACATCATGCTTGGGAGGGTGGAGGGACGGTGCAGGAGAGGAAGGCCCTCTATGAGGTGGATTGATTCAGTGACTGGGATAATAGGGGAGTGTCAGAGACCGTGCGATTGGCACAGGATAGAGCGGAGTTTAGGGCTGTTGTACATAGGGTCGCTATGAGTTGCAGGCGATTCGACAGCACATAACAACAACAACAACAACAGGTTGATAGCCAACTCCTTATTCACTAGGCCATGTTGTTATTGTGTGCTGTTGAGTCAGAACCAACTCACAGCTGACCTTCCAATGATTTTCAGAGACAGTAAATCTTATAGGAGGAGAGTGCCCATCCTTCTCCCGAGGAGCAGCTGGTGGGCTTGAACTGCATGCCTTTGGAATTGCAGTGTAATTTCTTACCACAAAGCCACCAGAGTTCCCTCACTAGGCCATAGAATCATAAAGATGTGAAGAAGAAATGAAAGCATATGTCCTCACAACTGTATCTCCACATTTATGAGACATGTGCAACAAAACTTAAGAACATATGAAAAGGTAAACATTAAAAAAGCTGCCCACATTCATCAGAAGATAAGGAAAACGTGGGATATACATTAAGCCTCTGTCAAGAGCAGTAGAAAAATTTGGACTTGAGGAGAGGTGATGCTGCATGAAATGATGAATATAGTGACTATTTTCAAATTATACATGTAAACATATTGAAATAGCAAATGTTCTACAGGTCACAATGGAAAAATATTCCAATGGAAATTATGATTGGAATAATAATAAACTATGTATAAATTTTGAAGTGTGCTATATCCACATAATGGACTAACATGTTGCCATGAAGTGTCCTAATCAATGCTATAATAGAGACAAATCTTGGGATTATTCTGCTATGTGAAAGCAGCCAGATACGAAAGGCCTTATGTGATATGATTCCATTTCCAGTAACGTGCTCACCCACTGGACCATCAGGGATCCTAAGAGATGTTTAGAAATGACTAATTAGAGACAGACAGTGGAGTAGAGGCTGCCTGGGGCTTGTTTGTTGTTGTTGCTTTGTTGTTAGGTGCCATTGAGTCGAGTAGGACAAACTTATGAACCACGGATGTGAACCCCATCCTGTCCTGTGCCATTTTCACACTTCCTGACACACAAGAGCCCATTGCAGCAGTTACTGTGTCAGTCCACCTGGTTGAGGGTCTTCTTCTTCACCTACCCTCCACCTTTCCCTCTTTAAGGATTAGAAACAACTATTAAATGCAGAGGGATACAAGGGATCTTACTGGGGTGATGAATAACAATGATTGATCAAGTGAATATATGAATTGTAACTGGAAAATATATTAGAAAAATATGGGTGTGGTTTTAAGGTGTGCGTCCATACACCTATTTTCATGCAACTAAAGTACATATGATGCATAATTCTTTTTACCATCATGAAATATGCACAATTCGCACAAAACACAGCATCTTTGTGTTTTCTAGTTCATGTTTCTCTCGAGAGTTTTTTTTTAAAGAAGTAAATATGTTGATGTAAGTTTGCTTTTAAACTTAATGGGAGACGTAGCCACTTCAGGGGCCCTATAGCCATCACTTAGGGATGGTGCAAATGGCTGATGTGCTTGGCTGCTTTCTCAGAGCTCAGAGGTTTGAGTTGCCCCAGAGACACCTTAGGAGAGGCACAAAAATCTGCTTATGATGATGCAGGCATGGAAAACCCTGTAGAGAGAGTTCTACTCTGACATGGGCTGTGGTGAATTGTAGTCAAGAGTTAAGTAAGGGCAACACATCTCTGTATGTTTGCCACTGACTCTGTAGGTAGAAATACTCAACTCTTCTTCAGTCTCCCTGTGCCTCAGAACTACCTCAGAACTGTTCTTGCTGCCTTACTCCAACATTTGGAATCAACAACATTCTTGGAAAGGAATGATGATACAGAATGAACGAGGTATCTTCCTGTCTGAAAGATTGGGAGTAAAACAGGTGTTTAGGACATCACAGCCCTAGCATCTGTGGCACGTAATGCATCACTGCTTTCGCCAGACAGAACTTTGCCTCTTAGAATGGCTCAAGGGCTATAGGAATACTCAGCTAACAGCCCAGCTGATTTCAGATGATAAAACTGCACTTCTCTCTGATTTTGTACCCCATCTCCCAGACTGCAGTTGAGAAAATAATCACCACTTGTTCGTCTTCAGTAATGGTGGTGAAGCATCTGCAGTGTTAGACACGTTTCCATGGAAATTAGGACATGTAAGAATTGCGTTTTCACCCTTTTGAAATATATTTGAAAATGTCTAGATTATCTAACTTATCGTCTGCTGCTTTCTTTCAGATTTGTGTCAGAAATGCTTCAAAGGAACGTAAGTAAACTTGCTAGCTGCTTCCCTTTGGGTTCCTTTTGCATTAGTTGTAGAATTCCTTACTCATTTGGTTGGCAAAGAAGTAGCTGCCTGGTACCTGGAGCTGTTTTTACAGAGGTCTCATCAACTCAGCTTCGTGAGGTCAGGCCATTTTTGCCTTTCAGTGAAGACTGCTGTATAGCCAAGCCTTTGGGCTTTGTTGTAAACACAATTTTGAAATGAAGAAGGCTGGTTTTGGTTGGCTTAATGAAACAAAAGAGGGAATCATTAACAACGTGGGATGCCCTCTGGGGGATGGATTGACCTAATCCTCCCAATCATGCACTCAATTGCATCAACAGTTGTGGTGATGTCTGATGTCCGAGCCCAGGCAGAGTTTCTTGATCACACACAAGGTCACTAGGAGTTGGTGCTGACTTAGCTGGCATAACAAAACCACAATTAAACAGGTATTGTTCATCTATGTGCAAACACGAAGTTTGCTTTTTTTTCAGCATTTTTGTTGGCTCCAAATCCTTTTGCTTGCATGCAGAGGGGAGATCTAGATTTTAGTCAGCTGATTCAATTTGGCGCAGGCTGCTAAATTCTTGGTTGAGCTAACGGATATACATCTAGTCACAGCCCGAGTTAGGGTCTCTGTCTCAAGGCAGCTTTCTCTTTGGTGGCCCTTCTCCCCCACATCCTGTCCTTTTAATTTCATAGGACAAATTTCTGGGAGGGAAGGAAAACTTCACAGGCAAAGAGAAGCTTGGAGGAAACTAGGAGCTATAGGACCACTGGTTAATTATGTCAGAATTGGCCCTGGTCACTTACTCTTCTCTGTCTCATCTGAAGTCCCGGTAGGACTTCAAAGCTATTAGGCGTTAGCCACCAGCTGCCTCAGCCCATGTACATGTGGCAATAACAGGGTCACATGCACTCAGTCTAGCAGCCATCTTTGCAGTCCCCCAGGGTTGGGGTCTCTTGGAGACAGTGCTGGCTTTGTTCCTAGCCCCAGAAGGTCCACTTGGCTCCACTGAGGAGTCTCTTATAGTCCATTAGACCCTTCCCTTGGTTTCCTATGAAGGTCCTGTTGGAAACCAAAGGGGCCTTTGGGATTTCAGCCTGTCCTTGGGAGACCTAGGTGGAACTTTACAGCTCCTTATCCTCACCACTCTGATGATTCTGACCCCTGACCTCAGGAGGTACCAGTCAGTCAAGGTATCAGCTCATTGCTATTGAGTAACAAATGACTCACAGCTGCCCCCAACCCCTGCCCCCAGTGGATTTTTCAGAGACTGTAACTCACATGGAAGGAGATTGTTCATCTTTCTCCCTTGGAGGAGCCAGTGGATTCAAACTGCCTGTCTCTGGGTTAGCAGCAAAAACCCTTAACCACTAGGCCAACCAGAGCCCTCTAGCCAAGGTGTAGAAAAGAGAACAGGCTTACATTTTTAGTATCCCTAACACTCTCTTTCAAAACATTTCCTGCTTCCCAATTTTAAATGTTCCTAGTGTAGATGATGTAGGTATTTAGTGAGCCTTACTGTGGGTGTGAGGGAAGGGAATGCCTTTCATATACAGTGGACCCTTTTTCCATTGAACTTCATGCTAAGGAATATATACTTGTACATGAACAAGCCTGCTGACTCCATGGCAATGGATTTGGTATCTTTTGTTATCATTTTTTTCCTTTCCATCAAGAGCCATTTTCATAAGCTGAGCATGAATCCTGACTAGCATTTCTACTGCCCCTCCCACCAAATGGAGCCCTGGCATCATCTCTTTGTATGGCATGCCTTTTGTGTGAACTCACGACATCCAGTTTTCTTACCAATCATTCTCTATTATTTCCAGTACTTGAGGGTGAAGCCCATCGTGACACCACGTTTTTCCCTTTCCTGCTCTGAGGCTTTGATGGGGGAACTGGGCAACATCGCCAAGACCAACAATTTACACATTCAGGTGGGTGTTTTTCGTCTGTTGGCACCTCTCTTCTGACCTGAAGGACACAAATCCTGAAACTAACTTCGAAGTCACCCCAGAGTCTAGTTTTGAAGGCCCAGGACAGCTCTGACAAGATAACACCCATTCAGTTCTTGAATTTTGACAATAGGAACTTTAGAGCTTCATTTACATGACTCTTTCTCTCTCCTATGATTATCTCTTGAGAGGTAAAGGCATCTTTACAAGTAACTAAGCAAGACCATTGACAAGAGAGTTGACTTATTCTCTGTAAAATATATTTAAAACATTTCTCTCCTCTTTATTTGATACTTTCTTTTCTTGTTCTACACCTTCATTTTTGGAGAAGCCAGCTATTATTTGTAAAGCAAAAAATAACCTAATTTCCACCTTAAGGGGGGAAAATGCACTTAAAAGCCCCTTTGTTCCACGTTTCTTAATATAAATCAGGAACAAAAAGTATATCTTACTTTGTCATTAAGTTGTTGCAGTTTAAGAATAAAGCACTTTTTAAAGCTTACAGCTGGGTTAAAATTGAGAGCGCCCTGCCCCCATCCAAGCTTAATTACATACTGTACTAAAATGTTTCCTTTTAAGAGTTATTTGATTATCTTATAAGAAAGTCCAAGAGCTGTGGGGAACGTGGCGAAAGGCAATGCAATGATTCTTCACCGTTTCATGTTGACTTGTGGTTTTCAAGGCACGCCACCTTCACTCAGGCAGTCGACATTGTTGTTGAGGCCCACCTGACAAATAGTTGACCCTCCACTTGGTTTACAGGATCTATAAATTCAAACTGCTCCCCCCTTGCTTGACAGCACAATCCCCTGTCCTCTAGGTCTCCAGGCCACTAGATCATCTTTCTGTCCACGAACCCACGTCTGTGATCTGTGAGATACAAATTACTGAGTCTAACTACCCTACCTATTACTTTCTTGGAGAAAAAAATTCAAAGTGGTGATGAATTTTCTGCTTTTGGAAACAAAATGCTTACTGCTGTTTTAGGAACCATTAAGCAAGTCAGAACTGATTTGTAGCTAACCCTTCAATGGGTTTTATGAGGCATAGGAAGAAATAGTTCATATTTCTCCCATGGAGTAGCTGGTGGATTCAAACCATGAACCTTTGGGTTGGAAGTACAACTGCTTACCTCTAAGCCACCAGAGCTCTACAGAATGCTTACATTACTTAAAAAAGAAAAAGAAAATTACATGAAATCTTAATAAAATACCTACAAAAAGAACACACAACACAGTCGATAACTCCTTGCTGGAGAGGTGTGTGTGTGTGTGTATCAGATTTGTTACAATGGCATGAGGCATGCTGGGTCTCTCTTCTTCTGATGATTGTGTATTCTCTGAATGATCTAGAATTTTCTCAAGGATATTTTAAATGATCCACACAGAAGAGACAGGGTACCTCAAATAGTCTCATCATGGAGTGTTTTACTTGTTCTGGGTGTATGTTGGAATTTAGGAAGGTGTTATTGGTAGAATTTGTTTTGAGACACCCCCAACACCCCCCCACACACACACACACACCAATTATGACATTTATGGGATGCTGTCAAGTTGGAACTGACTCTGGTAGGTTAGCAGCTGCTGTAAATTGCAATATAGAAGATTGCTCTTCTTTATTCCACAGAGGGGCTGATGGATTCAAACCACCTGCCTTTGAGTTGGCAACACAACTCTTTACCACTAGGCTACCAGCGATCTCTTTATACTCATAGTGGAGTGTCTTCTAACTTTTTTAATTGGTTTTTATTTAATCATTCATATGAATTGTTTTAGAACCTTGCAATTGATCCATGGCAGTTGTCACACTGTCTCATCAAAACTTGCTTGTACCTTGATTTTTATTCTACCCATCTATCCACTAGTCTCTGCCTGACTCTCTCACTCTTCCCATTCCTGTCAACTTTCCATGATTGTTTCTGTGTGGAAACCTTTCCTTAGTTTAGTTTTGTTTTTGTTTTTTTTACAGTCAGTCAATATCTGATCATCTCTTTTACACTGGACTCCCCTTCATCTATTCCAGTAGCATTTAGTATCTATGTATTCATTTTCTACCATTCCACGTCTTCCGTAATATAAAACTTATAGACAATTTTTGTCTTTTTGTTACTGAATTATTTCACTCGGCACAGTGTCCTCTAGACTCATTCATGTTGTGTAGTGATTAACAGGCTCTTCATTGTTTTTCAAGGCCATGTAATACTCAATTATGTGAATGTACCGGCGTTTCTCTGTCCATTCATTTGTTGATAGACACTTGATTATTCCCATCTCTTTGTTATTGTGAATGACGATGGAATAGACATGGGTGTGCATGCATCAGTTTGAATCACAGCTCTGGTTTCTTTAGGGTATAGTGTTCATAGTGGAATTGTTGTGTGCCGTTGAGTCAGAATCATCCCAAGGATGACCCTCCCTCAGGTTTTTAAAGGCAGTAAACTGCACAGGAGTTGGCTGCCTGTCTTTCTCCTATGGAACAGATGGTGGGTTTGAACTATATACCTTTTCATTGGCAGCACAGTTTCATAATCAATGAAACACAGATAGGCATTCCTCTGGTACACTCTGCTTTTGACTAAAATCCATCTAATGTTGGCTGTGATGTCCCTTGTGCCACAGCCTCTTCTAAACCCAGCTTGCACATCTGGTAGTTCCTAAGCTAGCAGCAGTTCTCTGCTAATGTGCTATTTCAGTCATTTTTGGATGATCTTCAGCAGAATCTTGCTTGCGTGTGATATTCATGATAATGTTCAATAATTTCCACACTCTGTTGGGTCACCTTTTTTATAATGGGAATAAATATGGATCTCTTCCAGTGAATTGGCCACATAATTATCCTCCAGATTTCTTGGCATAGTCTGGTGAGTGCATTCAAGCTAACATCTTTTTAACTGAAATATGTCAGCTGGTATTCCATCAATTCCTGAGGCCTTGGTTTTTGCCAGTTCTTTCAGAGAAACTTAAACTTCCTCTTTCATCACCATTGCCTCTTGATCATAGGTTGTTTCATTAGGCACTATAAATTCTAATGGTATATTATTTTAAAAAGAACTTGGAAATGTCATGTTTTCTTACAGAGTCATATAAGTGAAAATCCTGATGAAATTGAAGCTGTGAAAAGTTTATACCCTGCTTATAAGAACTATACCGAGGTGTATGATAAAAACAATCTTCTGACAAATAAGGTAAATTTTCTGTTATGACATAATTTATATAAAATTGATTTCTTTAAATCTTTAATCCTAGAAGTCATCTTCAGATTTTGTGAAGGATGCATGTTTGAATGAAAAGTCCAGGCTAATGTAATAAACAAGCAACAACAATGTAGAAACACACACTATATTCTTATATTTTCATCTCTTTAAAGAACTCTGTTGAAAGCAGGAGTTGTATCCACTTCCTAAACAACATGCCTCTGGAAACTATGAACTTTGATAAATGACGATAGTTGTAGAAAGGCATCAGGCATTTTGTCCACAGGGTCACTATGAGTTGTGCTCCACTCGAAGACAATCAACAACAAAGAAACCTAAAGGCTTTGCTGAAATTTGGGATAGATTTTGGTCTAAGAACATTTTAGTAGTATCTGTTACAATTTTTAAAAGCATTATTTCATTGTGTTTCCAGTGAAAACCTAATACATTAGAATTTCTATGTGCATTCCTTTGAATCAGCAGGAGCATTTCTAGAAATTTATTCTGCAAAAAGAATATGTATATTGTTCCTAAAATAAAATGAAATGAAATATTCCCTACTCATAGAGGCCTTCTCATATGGTTGCTATGAGTTGTCTACGACTCGTTGGCACTTAACAACAACAACAACATAGAGAGAGCTCTGTTGGCCTAGTGGATAGAAAGTTATGCTACCAAGCCAAAGGTGGATGATTTTAATCTGCGGCCCTTAGGCCTAGTTTTAATTGCTTTTGGTCAAAAATTCTTCTAAGTGGTATAGCACTGGCCTGACCATTTGCTGTACAGAGGTAACTTGTGGTTGCTGTGATGCTAAACATTGTGACACTAACATGTCAAATGTGATAATGGTTACCCGTGGTGGACAGTGTTTGGTGGAGCTCCCAGATTAAAACAGGCTTGGAAGCAGGAGTGGCATCCACTTCCAAAATAGCTTGCCTCCCCAAACTCTATGAACTTGGAAAAGTGAATTGTACAAGTGCTCAGGTCTTTCACAGGGTCACTATGAGTTGTCTATGACTCGATGACACTTAACAACAACAACATAGAGGATCTATAAGACATGGTAAAACTGTCCTATGGGATTTCCAGGCTTAGTGGTAAGGAGTTATGCTGCCAATCAAAGGGACACTTTAAATCCATCAACTACTCTGTGGGAGAAGAATGGGCAATTTCTTCCTTTGTGATTTAGTGCCTCTGAAAGCTTGCTGGAGGGTCGGTTAGGAGTCAGTTACAACCTGATGGTACATAACAACCACCATGTATCTTTTTTTTCTTTTTTTTTATTTTTATTAAATGTTATTAATTTTAATGAACATTTACAGTGATTCTGCATTTCCATTCATTGTTGCACTATTTTCTCTACCCCCCCCCCCAGTTCATTCCTCTTTTTTTCCCCTTTGAAAGTCTGTTTTAATTGTCCCATTGCCACAGTGCTTGTCAAAGCCAGATCTGATTAATCTCCTTTGTCAGTGTGTCCTTTGCCATTCCCTATCACTCCTCCCTGAGAGAGACTTCACCCTGATTCATAAGGAAAAGGGGACAGCATATTCTCTTAGCTACTTCCTGCTGAAAAGGGATGCTGTAGGTTTCAGGGTAAAGATCTTCTCTCACTACTCTAAAGGGCCCCTTTGGCAGTGGGAAACACATAGACTTCTATGGAGATTGATTTTGGAATTTAGATGCACTGTTATCAATTGTGCTTAGCCGTACATGTTCATATCCTTGAAGATGCATCATGGAACTGTTGCAGCCTAGAAGACACAAATTTAACTAACAAGTTAAAACTACATGAGTCAAAAATTAAAAGCAATAATATTCCAAGTAGAGGTTCTAACAGTGGCACAAATCAAGTTACAATAAAATCAAGTTAAAATAAAAGGCCTGTTGACTAGCACTTTGTCTACTATAGTATAAAGGTTAGGAACCACAAGATGTAGAGGCTCAACTACGTCATTTATTGTTCTTACGTCCTGGACCAAATTCCATCTACCACTGGGTTGTTTTACAGCTCGGAAGTCCACATGCAAGGCAGAGGTGAAGTAAGGAACTGCTTATGAGGTTTTCCGTCAATTACAACAACTAAGAAATAGTGAGAAGAGTTGGGACCTCAGAAGGCTTTTAGGAACAATAGTAGGCTCTTATGGCCAGGAGAAAATGAATATGCTTACCAGTAATGTTAATGCTCACCCACAGCTCTTCTGGGAGGATCTAAATCGTTGAAGCATCCTCATTTGTTTCCAGTTGGGAGCTGGGGCCTGTCAACCACGAGGATCTGATGAACCACCATGTATCTTAAAGAAGTATTCTGCTCTCTTTCTTCCACACAATGGCTGTTAGAAACAAAATATCACGACTTCAAACCTATTTTTTAAAAAAAAACTAGTGATATTTTAGTTTGTGGTTAGTGTTATGTACCTTCACGTCAGAACAAACCATAGCTGACTTTCCATGGGGTTTTCAGAAAGAGGAGCTTGCCCATCTTTCTTCCCTGGAGCAGCTGATGGATTTGAACTGTGTACCTTCACATTGGCGGTGCCGCTACTTACTATTCTGCCAAATGGCTTGCCTCACTTTGAAATCAACCTAAAGGCAACAACAGCATAATTTGGAATTTTATCCAACATTCACAAAAGATATACAGGATTACAAGAAGGAATACTTACACACTAGAGGTCAACATACATGTGTCTCTGTGCCTGTGTGTCTCTGTGCCTGTGTATCTCCTTAGAAAAATGCTCTATGAGACACATAGCAACTGGTTTCTGAGAGAGAAAGTTGGAAGGACAACTTTTTGGTTTTTTCCCATTCATTAATTGTTGCACATTTTCCTCCCTGTCCACCCCTCCTCTATAGTTCATTTTTCTCCTTGAAAAGAAAAAAAAATTATTTCATTGTTATACAATCCCCCTCCACCCCACCCTGCCTGAGTCTACTTTATTATGCAGCTCTTATTCTGGACTCTTGTCATGCAAATAATACCTAATCATATATTCCTTTTGTACAGTTGTCTCCCTTATCTGTTTCAATGCAGTGTATATTATTTATCCCCTCTTTTCTTAGTTTCTCCCCAACCCCCATGTAAGTCCTATTTTATAACAGTGGCATTATGCAGTATTTGTGAAGGACAACTTTTTGCTTTTATATTTTAGTATTTGAGATATTATTATTATTATTATTATTATTATTCCCACCAAGCTTTATTATTATTTTTAATGAGCATGTATCATTTTGATAATGAAGCAATTTAAGATAATTAAAATGAAAATGAATAGAGAAAGATACCTTATTACCACAGCACACCTTTTGGCCTTGGCCTCATAGTAAACACACAAACTCTAAGGAGAGTGTCAGTAGGACAGCAAATTAGTTTTCAGTGACTATGTGAATGGAAAATTTCTGACTTGAAAGGTTAATGCTCTGAATAAATCATGTAAATACTACATAATAATGTTCACTGTCCTTTGCATTTATTTCCATATGATTAATAAATTAACTTTCAGTTTGCGTGTTAATTATCATTGCAAGTAAATTGTGAATATTTTATTTAAAAAATAGTTCTGTGGTCAGTGAACCATGCCTCCCAAAGGAGAAAGTGGTTATTTCTTTTCTTTTTGTATTGTGATTTGGAAGAATGTTTACCCAATATACTGGCTTTTTATTTAGTCATTCATACACATTTGGTTCTATAAAATTAATTTCAATATCCGCAATGCAATTGTACTTTTCTCACTTCTGCCCTGTAATTCTTATTTCTGTTAACCCTTCTTTCCTACCCTTTCCTGCCTTTAGGGCTTTATTCTTGGGCAAGCTTCCCTTTTGACCTTCTGTGGGTGGTTATTCTAAGGAGTGAGTGCTTCTTTGATATGTGGTTCATCTTACAGGCCTGTCTGCATGTCTGACTGAAAGCTGAACCACCAGGTTGGTTTTGTTACAGGTTCAAAAGGTGACTGGGAGGCCTACTCTAAGGATTTCACATTTGTTGTTCCTGTTAGGTCCATCAAGTCAAGTACAACTCATACTGACCCTAGGAACAACAGACCTGAATCCTGTTCTGTCCTGTACCAACCTCACAATCTCTGGTTTACTTGATACTGTGTCGATCCATCCTCTCCTTGGCGGTCTTCCTCTCTTTCGCAAACCCTCTTCCTTTCTAAGCATGATGTCCCTCTCCAAGGAATAACTTTTCCTAACAACATGTCCAAAGTATCTGCGACGAAGCTTTAGCATCATTGCCTTCAAGGAGCACTCTGGCTGCATCTTCTCCAAGACACATCTGTTCTTTTGGCAGGCCATGAGGTATTCAGTACTGTTATTCAACACAACATCTCAAATGCATCCATTTTTCTCCAATTTTTGATGGAGGGCTTTCACTAGTCTCTATGACTCCAGTAAGCCTGAACTTAAGAAAGCTGCTTAGACACAGATTTTGTATTGAGAGAAAAGCAATCTTGAAAGAAATGAATATATTCTGTTAAGTCCATGAACATTACCAAGGCCCCCCCCCCCAAAAAAAATCAGACATGTTCAGTGCTTGCTTTCTAGGTCAGTTTTACCATCTGAATTAAACTCTATATATTCATTTTTATGAAAATGTTAACATAGGTAAGGTCAAGGTCATTTGGTTATATTTGTTAAGACCTGTATCAAAACATTTTGAGAAGTGAAAGGGTGTTCTGGATTTTTCACACCCCCCCCAAACTTTTGTTTTATAATAGAAACAATGCCGGTTTGCCAGCAGCTCACTATGTAGAATAAAAAAGAAAGTTAACTTGGCTGTTTTCTAAAGTGCAGATGATAGAATTGTAGCATTAGCAAGCTGGCTAATTAACCTGTACTACAGACTTTTTTCTTTTAAGACATAAAATGGTAGAGATTTTTTTAAAAAGTGAAGAGTTCTGAATTTGCTGAGACTTTGATAGTAAAGCATGTTTACAAGCCTCTTGTGAGCTGTGACCTGTAGAGAGTGATTTGATGCACACAGACGGTCCTCAGTGTTGTTACGGTGCTAGCCCCGTCACAGCGTCCATCTGTGCTGCTAATCCCTGGCCAGAAGTGAGCACTAACCTGGGTGCTTCTCTCCAGACAGTGATGGCGCACGGCTGCTATCTTTCTGGAGAAGAACTTGACGTGTTCAGTGAACGAGGAGCCTCCATCGCACATTGTCCTAATTCTAACTTATCGTAAGTAGTGGTCATTGGTGGATTCTGGAAATTTGGGTTGTGCACTAGCAAATAACTTTACTGTCTCAGTTGTTTCCTCCAGGATCTCTGTTCTGCAGTTTAAGTGAAATTGAAATGGAAGTAGATATACTGATGGGCTGTGGTAGAGAAGAGTTGCTGTTTTGTACTGCCGAGCCAGAACTGACTCATAGCTGAATCTTCAGCAGGTTTCCAGAGGCTGCAATCACAGTAATCAAATGGGAGGTTTTCAAAATCACATCTTTCTCCCGAGGAGCAGCTGGTGGATTCAAACCACGTGCCTTTGTGTTGGTAGAGCAACTCCTATCCACTCAGCCATCAGAGCTCTTTAAAAAGTGCAGCTTATCAGAGTTTACCTTTGCAGGACACCATGTCTCCTAAATTTCCAAATTTGAGCAACACAAGACAGTAGGAGATATAACAGAAAGGGTTCAAAATCAAAAGCATTCAGAATTCACAGCTGAAGACCAAGTGCTGTACATTCCAGCCAGTGAGGATACTGACTTCTCCTTCGGGTACAGTGCCACTCGAAACCGGGGTCCTGCACCCATGTCACGCTGCTGGATCTGTTCACACCAGTTCACAAAGGAGGGCAGAAGGAACACTGCCCTGTTGTAATTCCCAGAATACAAAGACTTACTGCTAACACTTAATCCTTATAAAGAGTTATAGATGTATTAAGGGAATCAGATGAAAGTTCTGGTTTGCGTCTTCAGAAAATCTCCATAGCTATAGAAATTTTGCATCTAATTTAGGGTTGATTCATGGACCCCATGATGCTGATCCACAGATGCTAATTTCCATACTTCCAATCTGTGCTCTAGCGTTTGGTTAGAGAAAACATCTATAATTTCCAGTGTTGGTAGATCAATCATGAAATAAATCAAAAGGTTTATTGGCATCGTCTCAATTTTAGTGTTTCACATTTTTTGTTGTTGCAAAAATGTGAGCGGTGAATATATGGACATGCAAGAAGTTTATCTGGGATACCAGGAAGCACATTTGAGGGCTGACAAGGGAAAGGAAAGAGTGAAACTGCAAGTAAGTCACCACTGCCGACCTTCTGAAAAACTCTCTGAGCAATATACAAAACAAACCTCAAAGTTACCCTGCCCAGGGCTGGAAACAGACAGGCCAGTTATGCCCAAACACTCATCAGTCATTGGAGGAAGGCTGGGGTTGAAGGCACTCATTTCTTTCAGCAATTTCCCAACCTTCCCAAAGAAAGGACAGAGCTGGTCCTAGCAGCCAGAGAGCCCCAGTCAAAGGACTGAAGGTACTGCAGGCTGGAAATCTAGGGACTTTATAAATGGAAAAGCATATGTCAATGGCAGTATGGGAAAGACCTTGGCAATGTATTTTTTTTAACAATATTTTCCAAGTCTCCAGAAACACTGCCATTTCAGATACAAAGGTTTCAGACATATGACAAGGAGTCTTGCTGGACTACAGCTTAGTGACCATAATTAGGGTCTAGTTACCAAGAACTGGAAGGATTTAATGTCCCTTTAGTGAAATGCACATCTTCTAAATTATAACAGGACCCAGCTTTGCAACTTGACTCTCAAGAGATGGATTGACAGCATGAATGTAGCAGAGGGCTCTCTTGTGGCAGAGATGATGAGGATGGCACAGGATCTGGGCAGAGTTGCAGTGAGTCATACTCGAGAGCACGACACCTAACAACAACCACAGTCAGATAGTGTGACAAATCACTTCAAGGAGAGCGAGATAGCAATACTTTATAACTGCTTCTTCTTAACATGTGGGGGGCCAAGTGGTAAAGAATTGAGCTGCTAATACAAAGATATGTGATTTGAATTCATCAGCTGCTCCCCAGGAGAAAGATGGGCACTTTCCTCCTGGGTGATTGGAGGGTCAGCTGTGAGTTGGTTCTCGTTGGCACACAACAACAACATCACACAGGGAGAAGGGTTGTCAAGGGGAAGGGAATGAGCCATCATCACCTCCCATATGATTGACAGCTTCAGAAACCAATGGACGGTCAGCTCTGACCATAATTACCTTGACAGTAATGAGTTTGAGGTTTGTGTATATATGAACACACACAAATGATTAATAAGGGTTTTCCACTAATTTCAAGGTTTAATTGCTCTATTTTTCCCCCCCTTACTCATGATTCATGGCTTTTCTTCTGCCTCTTGCTACTCTCTGCCCACTGAGAGGTTCAAATAGGATGCCGCCAAAGTATCCATCGTATTTGCCGTTCTTTTTTAACTAGAGGACTTGACTTAAATGGCACAATTTGACTAACGTGTTTATGTTGGCATTAGAGCTGACGAGATGGGAAACACAGTGTCAGTGACGCGGGCTCTGTGCCTGGAACTACGTGGCTTTCTTTCTTCTGACATCTCCTCTTTTTCCAGGCTGTGCAGTGGCTTTTTAAATGTGGTGGAGGTGCAGAAACACAACGTGAAGATAGGACTGGGCACAGGTTAGTAGTTCACCATGTAGAGCTTTAGCAATGGGGTCAAGTAAGTGTGTGACTTCCTAATGTGATTAATTTGGGGGTAAAATTATTTTGTGTTAAAGGAAATCAGCTTTGTTATTCATTGCAATACCCTGAGATAATAAAATAACTTGATGAAGTTGGAAACAGTAATGTAACATTTGTCAAAGGAGAAACTTGGATGAACAAAACGGACTGGAGGAGACTTTTTTGTTCGATATTTTTGTTGTTTTTCATTAGTTTGTTTATTTATTGCCATAATTATTCTTTTTTATATTTTTATTGATATTTTAATGAAAGTTTATAAGGAACTTGGATTTCCATTCATTCATTGTTGCACATTTTCCTCCCTGCCCTTCATCACCCAAAGTTCGCTTTTTTTAAAAATAGTTCTTTCATTGCTATACAGCCCTGCCCTCACTGGCCATGTTACTACGCAGCTCTTATTTTGGACTCTTGTCATGTCATTAATAACTAATCATGTATTCCTTTTATACAGTTCTCTTCCTCGTCTGTTTCAATGTCATGTACATTATCGTCCTCTCTTTTTTTAGTTTCCCCCAACCCTCATGTCAGTCCTCTTTTATAACAGTGACATTATGCAGTATTTGTCCTTTTGTGACTGAGGTATTTCACTCAGCATAATGTCCTCCAGGGTCTCCCAGTTCTATAATGTTTCATGAGTTTCTTGTTTTTCAGTGCTGCATAATATTTCATTGTGTGACTATACCACAGTTTCTCTATCCATTCATTTCTTGATGGGCACTTGGGTTATTTCCAAATCTTTGCTATTGTGAACAATACAGCAATAAACATGGGTGTACATATTTGATATTTTTTAAATAATTATTTTTCATTATTGAAAATGTCTTCCCTCCTTCCCATTCCCCACCCTACCCTTTAATGCATCACTTGTTTCAGATTGTTGCCATACAATAATGCCTAATATATAATCCCTTACATAATGCCTAATCATATATTCCTTTTGGACAGTTCTTCCCATCATCTGTTCTATTGCAGTGTTGATTATCTATCCACTCTTCCCATTCTCTTCCTACTCCCCCTTGTCTATCCTATTTTATAGCAGCAGTGTTATGCAGTGTTTGTCCTTTTGTGACTAAGATATATCACTAAGCATAATGTATTCCAGTTTCCTCCATTTTTTGTCATTTTTTTATAAGTTAATTGTTTTTCAGTGTTGCATAATATTTATTGTGTGAATGTACCATAGTTTTTCTATCCATTCATGTATTGATGGACAGTTGGGTTACTCCCATCTCTTTGCTCTTGTGAATAACGCAGCAATAAACATGGCTGTGCATTAGAGGAGTTTCTGGGCAGTGCAAGTGGCCCAGCAGTTTGAACCCTACCCAGAAGGACCACAGAAGAAAGGCCTGGTGCTTCTTTGAACAATTGCCCATTATGTCACTGTTCTACACTGACATACATGGAACACTGTTCTACACTGACATACATGAGTCTGAGTCCAGATGATGGCAGCAGGTTTTGTTTTCTAACCTGAAAGCCATATACCCATTTGCTTTCCAGATATTGGTCTGTAAAAGATGTTGTTGTTATGTGCCATTGTGGCTCATAGTGACCATATGCACAATAGCTCTGAACTCCACTGTATCCTGAGCCAATCTTTCTGACATACCTGCTCCCATTACCCCAGTTACTGTGTCAGTCCAGCTTATCCAGGGTTTTCCTTTCTGTGTTGACCCTCCATCCTTCCAAGCAACATGCCCAGAGTATGTGAGGGGGAGCCTCACCACCCTTGCCTCCAAAGAGCAACCTGGTTTCATCCTCTCCAGAACAGATCTGTTTGTTCTTTTGAATGTCCATGATATGTTCAGTACTCTTCTCCAGCACCATCACACAAAGGTATCAATTCTTCTATTCTTAGTCATCGTCCAACTCTGATGCATAGCAAGTAACTGCAAAGACCATAGCCTGGATCAGGCACAGTTTAGTCTCTAGACTGACATCGTTGTTTTTCAGCACTCTGGAGAGATCCTGACAGCAGATTTTCCTAATGCAATTTGTCTTTTGATTTCCTGACTGCTGATACCAAGGTTGTTGATTCTGGAACTAAGCAAACTGAAATTATTAACTTCCCCTTAAAATACTTCAAAGTTAGTTTTTAAAAGTCCTTGATTTGTCTACCCACCTTTCGTTTTGTCCCTCTGCTTACATTTCCATGGTTAGCAGCTGCATGTTTTTTTCTTTTTCAAGAGCAGTGTGAACACAAACCTTGCCTCCAAAGAAAATTAAAATTATGTGACCTTGCCCCAGAAAGCACAAATTCAATCTGTGCCAACTTTGAAAAGTCTGTTGAGAACATGCTTTGCTTTTAAGTGGTGTTTAGTAAAATGAGACTCCTTGATTTCCACATCCAGGCAGTCTGCATGTTTACCGGGCTGAAGGACAGGGAGGGTGGCCGATGAAGTAGTGATGCCTCCTTCTTTTCACAGTGCATTTTTAGTGTTTCTTCCTGGGTGTGTGCAATGCTGCTTACTTCAGATGTGTGAGTCAGCCCCAAATGCCTACGCATCCGCTGTGAACCTGCCTTTATTGCTTGGGGTGGGGGGGGACTGAAAGAAAAATTAACAACAACAAAATTAAAGAATCATGGATGCAGGGGCACAAAGACTCAGGCTCACAAAGAAGCCTTTCATCCTTTCAGTAGCTGAAGTCTGTCCCAGTGATATTTTTCATACCAAATAGTTAGTCATTAAGATACACAATAATAAATGATGTCCAATCATATCTACAATTTATTAATATTTTGACTTGTTTTTCCAACTTTTAAGTATTTTAAAAAATTTCCAAGGTTTAGTATTTTTAAAGAAGTACACAAAAGTGATCTTTCCAATTTTATATCAACCTGAGGAATTCTTAAAAAGTTTTAATGTAAAAAAAAAAAGTTTTAGTGTAGGGAGCTCTGGTGGCCCTAGTGGCAAGAAGCTGCATTGCAGTCCCAGAGGTGCGTGGTTCAAATCCACCAAATGCTCTGCTGGAGAAGGAGGGGCAATCTCTTCCTTTACCAGTCAGAACCGATTTGACAGTACACACACACACACACACACACACACACACACACTAATAATAATAATAATAATAATAATAATAATAATAATTTAATCCTTTGTGCATTTAAAATAAGTTTTAATGTAATCCGTGAATTCTTGAGGTTGTGTGAATCGTTGACTACAGGAACAAGTACAGTGTAACAAGGGGCTTGAGCATATTGGGGATGGAGAGGATGATGCAAGACAGTGAAACGTTCAGATATGTTCTTCATGGGATTGCTATGAGTTGCAGGTGACAACACAGCATCTAATAACAACATTGATTCAGTTGGGGAGGAGCCCTGGTAGTGCAGTGATTAAATGCTTGGCTGCTACTTGAAATGTCAATGGTTTGAGCCTATGAGCTGTTCTGAGTGAGAAATATAAGGCAGACGCCCTTATAAAAAAAGAACTTTTGAAGCACGGCATATGAGGCTGCTCTGCTTTGCCCTACAACGTCACTGTGCATCAGAATTCACTCAATTTGCCTTTTTTTTAATGTTAAGGCAAGGAATTAGTTTCTCTGTCTTAAAGGAACGCTTTAAAGTAAAGGGGGTGGGGGGGGAATGTCAGTGATGGATTTCTTACCTTCCATGTGAAATGCTTAAGTTTACTTTTTCTCTGATGCACACCCAACCATTATTGGAGGATTGTATGTTGTTATGATGCTGAAGTGGCAATACTGACAGATACAATGGGAAGAACCTCGGGTGATCTAGGAAGCATCAACAAAAGGCAGAGAGCATACACAGAGTCACTGTACCAAAAAGAACCAGTCAACACTGAAATATTTCAGGAAGTAGCATATGATAAAGAGCCCATCGTGATGAAGGGAAAAGTTCAAGCTTTACTGAAGGCATTGGCAAAAAAATACGGCGCCAGGAATCTGTGGGATACCAACTGACATGTTTCAACTAACAGATGCAGCCCTGCACGTGCTCACCAGTTTATGCCAGCAAATTTGGAGGACGGCTGCCTGGAAGAGATCCATGTTTGTTTTTGTTCCAAAGAAAGATGATACAACATAATGTGGAACTTATGTAACAATAACACCATCACATGAAGGCAAAATATTGCTGAGGATCATCCAAAACCAGCTAGAACAGTACACAGAGAACTGCCAGAATTCAGCCTGGGTTTAGAGGAGGCCATGGTCCCAGAGATATGATGGATGTTGGCTGAAAGCAGAAAATACCAGAAGAATATCTTATCTGTGTTTTATTGATTATGCAAGGGCATTGGATTGTGTGGATCATAACAAACTACAGCTAATATTGAAAAGAATGGGAATACTAGAACACTTAGTTGTTATGTGACGTCAAGTTGCTTGTGACTCATAGAGACCCTATGTTCAAAAGCCCTGAAACCTGCTCTATCCTGTGCCAAATTTACTGTCTCTGACACACCTATCTATGCTCATTACCCTGTCACTGTATCAATCCATCTCATCGAGGAGCTCCCTCTCTTTTCCCATACCTTCGTCCTTCTAAGCATGATTTCCTTCTCCAAGGACCAATCCCTCCTTGTAACATGCCCAAAGTATGTCAGACAAAGCCTCAGAACCCTTTGATTGTGTAAATCATTAAGAACCCTGCACCTAATATTGAGGAGAATGGAAATACTAGAACACTTAATTATACAAAACCTATACCTAGACCAAGAAGCTGTTGTATGAATAGGGCAAGGGAAAATGGCATGGTTTCAAATTAAGAAAGGTGTTCATTGGGGATGTATCCTTTCTCCATACCTATTCGCATGCTGAGCAAATAATTTGAGAAGCTGAACTCTTAGGAAGAAAAATGTGGCATCAAGATAGTAGGAAGATTCATTAACAGCCTGCATTATGCAAATGACATAATCTTGCTTGCTGAAAATGAGGAGAACTTGAAACATTTGATGCAGAATATCAAAGAATTCAGTCTTCAATACAGATTATATCTCAATAACAAGACAACAAAAATTTTCACTAGTGGGCTAATAGGCAGCATCATGATTGTTGTTGTGTTCTGTCCATCAAGTCACTTGTGACTCATAGCGACCCTATCTATGTATAATAGCCCTGAAGTCTGCTCTATCCTGTGCCAACCTTATCATCTCTGACACATCTCCTCTCATTACCCCAGTCACTAAATCAATCCATTACATTGAGGGTCTTTCTCTGTTGTGCTGTCCCTCCACCCTTCCAAGCATGATGTCCCTCTCCAAGGACTGGTCCCTCCTTGCAACATTCCCAAAGTATGTCAGACAAAGCTTCAGAATCCTTGCCTCCAAGGAGCAGCCTGGTCTCACCCTCTCTAGGACAGACCTGTTTGTTCTTCTAGCAGTCCATGGTATATTCAATACTCTTCTCCAGCATCACAGCTCAAAGGCATATATTCTCCTTCTATCATCCTTAGTCATTGTCCAGCCTTCTGACACATAGCAAGTGATTGCCAAGATTGTGGCCTAGAACAAGCATGCCTTAATCTCCAGGCTGACATCATTGTTCTTCAGTACTCTGGAGAGGTCCTTGACAGCAGACTTTTCCACTGCAATTTGTCTTTTCATTTCCTGGCTGCTGGTAACAAGAGTGCTGATTGTGGAGCCAAGCAAACTAAAGCAGTTAACAATCTAAGTCTCTTCAGCATTTATCAAGTATCACCAAGTGGCCTAGTGGTGAGAATCTGTATTTTCTTGTGTTGAACTTTAATCCATACAGAAGGTTGCAGTTCTTGACTTTCTGTAGCAAGTGCATCAGGTCCTCCTCAGTTTCAGCAAGCAAGGGTTGTGTTTGTTATCTGCATAATGCAGATTGTTGATGACTTTTCTCCAATCCTGATGCCACACTCTTCCACATAGAGCCCACAGCTCCCCAGAAGATCTGTTCTGCATATTGATTGAAAAGGTATGGAGTTAAGATACATCCTTGACGCACACCCTTCCAGATTTTGAACCATGCAGTGTTTCTTTGCTTTGTTGTGAAGACTGCCTCCTGGTCCAAGTATAGGTTTAGCATAAGCACAATCACATGTTCTGGAATTCCCATTCTTCTCAGAGTCAGCCACAGTTTGTTGTGTTCCACACAGTCAAATGCTTTTGCATAGTCAATGAAACACAGGTAGACATTCCTCTTGTACTCTCAGCTTTCAGCCAAGATCCATCTAACATTAGCTCTAATATCCCTAGTATCACAACCTCTTCTAAATACAGCCTGCACATCTAGCAGTTCTCTGTTGATGTGCTGTTGCAGTCATTTTTGGATAATTTTCAGCAGAATCTTGCTTGCATGTAATATCAACGATATTGTTTGATAATTCTACACTCTGTCGAGTCACCTTTCTTTGTAATGGGAACAAATATAGATCTCTTCCAGTCAGTTGGCCATGTGGTTGTCCTTAAAATTTTTTGACACAAGTTGATGAGTGCATCCAGGGCAGCATCTGTTTGTTGAAGCATCATGACAGATAGATAAAAGATTAATATTGTCACCGATTTAATCTTACGGGATCTATAATCAATACCCTTGATGCCAGCAGTCAGTAGATCAGGAGATGTATAACATTGAGAAAGTCTATTGTAAGAGATTTCTCCAAATTACTGAAGAAAAATGATGTCAGTTTAAAGACTAAGATGCACTTAATTCAAACCATGTTTTTTCCAGTCACCTCCTACGCATTTGAGAGCTGGATGCATCAAGATAGCAATGCCTTTGAGTTGTATTATTGGGAAAGAATATGAAATATTTTATGACCTGCCAAAAGAACAAAGAGTTATGTCTTGGAGAAAGTGCAACGAGAGTGCTCCTTGGAGTCAAGAATGAAGAAGTCTCTTCTCACATATTTTGGGCATGTTGTTAGAAGATGCCATTCCTTGGAGATAGACATCATGCTTGGTAAGGCGGAGGGTCAGCCTAGGAGAAGATGACCCTCAGTGAGATGGGCTGGTATAGTAACTGTAGCAATGGACCCAAGTGTGTTGGGAATGAAAAGGATGGTGCAGGATAGGACAGGGATCAGATATGTTGATAGGATTGCTATGAGTCCTGTGTGACTCAGTGGGACCTAACAACACCACCACATGATGGTGAACAAGTTTTTGTCGAGCTTCCAGGCTGACAGACTAGGAAGAAGGGCCTATCTACTTCCAAAAATCAACCAGTGAGAGACTTATGGACAGTGTGATCTGAAACCAGTCATACAGTTGACATAGAACCAAACAGTACTTTGTTCTGTTGTGCATGCAATCAATCACCATTTGACTAAAGCTAAGAACAACTCAATCAATACTCTTGGCACCAGCAGTCAGGAAATCAAAAGTCGAATTGCACTGGGAAAGTCTGCTGTCAGGGACCTCTCCAGAGTGCTCCGGAACAGTGACACCAATCTGAAGACTAAGGTATGTCTGATCCAGGCCATCGTCTTCACAATTACATGATATGCTTCAGAGAGCTGGACAATGACTAAGGATGACAAAGGAAGAATCAGATTCCTTTGGGTTGTGGTGCCCAAGAAGAGTCTTGAACATACCATGGGCCACCAGGAGAACAAATCAGTCTGTCTTGGAGAGGATGAAACCAAGTCTCTCCTTAGAGGCAAGAATTTTGAAGCTTTGTCTCACATACTTTGGGCATGAAGCCAGGAGGGGCCAGTCCTTAGAGAAAGATATGCTTGGAAGGGTGGAGGGACAGTGCAGGAGAGGAAGACTCCAGATGAGATGAATTGATATGATAACTGGGGTGATGGAATTAGGTGTGTTGGAGTCAGTGAGACTGGCTCAGTTTAGGGCAGAGTTCAGAGCTATTGTACATAGGGTCACTATGAGTTGCAGAGGACTCAAGGGTGCATAACAATAACAACAAAAACAACTATACTGTAGTTAATGTAAACTCAAGTTATTGAGTCAGAACTGACCCATAACTTACCTTCAGTGAGTTTTCCTAGCAAATCACATGTAAAGAGATTACCCATCCTTCACCTTTGGAGCAGCTAGTGGATTTGAACTGTATACCTTTGAGATTACAGCACAGCTTCTTATCACTAGGCCATCAGAGCTCCCTAAACTTAAGTAGAGGTTCCAAAACTTTTTGTAGAACTGGCTAATCCTCTCATAATAGTGGTCTTGTTAAACGAAAGTTTAATTTTTTAAAGGCCATACAAGTTTATCTAAGGACATTCAAGATAATTGAACATAATAAAATTCAACTGCAACTTAGAATTACTACTTAATAGGCTAATGCTTTTGATCTTTGCAATATATATAGGCACTAACAATTATAAATGTCTGTCTAGGAATGACAGAAGAATCTTTTGTAATAGAAAGTCTATTTCATTAGTTATTCATGTAATTTTCTTCTAATAAAGCATGATAACTTACTTGACATATTTGTACAAACTCATTTAAAGACTTCAATGATATTCTCATCAAAAATAGTATTTCAATTTAATTCTTTTGAGAGACCAACCAACATAAAAAACTATTAACATCATCATTACTCATATATTACACTAATTTTTCAGACTATAAAAGTTCATTCTAAAAGTGCTTCCTGAAAAATTACCATAAAGAGGTTTTACTTTTTAATTTCTATAAGTTCTTGTCTAAAGTAGAATAAAGTTAGGACAAGTTTTTGGTATATATAACAATGAGATTATTTTAAGTCACATATTATGCTATCTCAATTATCTTGATAAGTATTCAGTTTTATTTGAACAATTTCCATGAAAAATCTACTAGGGAATATTCAGAGTGAAGCACTTATTCTCTTAATGTTATTTGACCATTTTGGAAATACAGTGTGTTGATCTGTGACCCTTAAAAGTCTGTTGAAACCAGTATGAAATGATAACTTAAAAAAAAAAAAGTCTAAAAGAAAAATGTCGAGAACTTCAGAATGCAACCTTACTTAGAATATAAAGTTCATTCATATGGATGTGAAGGGAGCTCGCGTGGCCTAGTGGGTGAAGAGTTGCTCTGCCAACCCAAAGGCAAGTAGTTTCAATCTATGAGCTGCTCTGCAAGAGAAAGGTGGGCAGTCTTCTCCAATACAATTAACTGCTTCTATAAACCTACAGGAGAGTCAGCTATGGTTCAGTAAGAACCTTGAGATGCAATCATTCTGAAGCAAAGAAAACTATAAATCCAGTGTCCTGACAAGAGACATAAAAGGAGAGACACACGGTGACCAGTAAAGATTGCGCCATGACTGGAGTAACACCACCACAAATCAAGGACCACCAGGAGCCACCAGAAGCTGGAAGAGGCCACGAGAGGCTGTCCTCTAGAGCTTTTGGGTAGCATGTAGTCCTGCTGACCCCTTCATATTTGATTAGTCTCGAGAATTGTGGAGAAAACCCTTTTTACTTGTTTTAGGCTCTCAAGCTTGTTGTCATTTGTTGCCAAAGTCCTGGGAAACCAATGTAAGTATAGGTTGGCAACTAATTGCTGGTTTTTAATTCCTTCAAATGTTGGGCTGTGGCTAATCTCAGTTTAGGGATAATATATTTTCTGTAAGTATATCAAAGATTATCAGACACTGACAATAACGCTCAGTCACCCCTGTATATTTTATATTCTGCTTATCCTCATAATGCTACTGTTCTTGGCTTTGTTTACGGTAGATGTTGCCGGTGGTTATTCATCTTCCATGCTTGATGCAATCAGAAGAGCCGTGATGATGTCCAATATCCTTTTCATTAGCAAGGTAAATGAGAAAAGCCTCACCCTGAAAGAAGTGTTCAGACTCGCCACTCTCGGAGGAAGCCAAGGTAATGATACTTCCTTGCCCTGTCATCCCTCAGCTCCAACCAGGCCATTGGGCTGTGGACACCGGATGTGCGCATGCGCAGTGATAGCCGCGTGTGCCCTGTAGTCCAATTGCATCTCAGATATCCAAAATATAGCAAGTCAGGTCCCTGTTCAGGCAGGCAGCGGAGGCATCATTCTTTCAGTGAGTTCGCTGTTGCTCACAGAAGGCAGAATAAACGTTTATTACACAATCATGACATTAATCATTTCAGTGGTCACATGTAAAGTTCTTGAAAATAAATCTTTCCACTGAGTCAAGAAAATCTGCTTGTGCATAAAACACCTTCACAGAGTCAACATTTGCCCCAAAAGGCAGTCAAACTGCATTTCCTGAAATGCATTCAATTTACTTAACAGTTTGCCACAGTCTGCATTTGGATTGTTTGCCAGGTTACTGAAAGCAATGGCCCAAGTGTTTTAAATGATCATTGTCCTTGTCTGAACGCTTCAGGGTCTAAGATAAATGACTCAGTTAGTTTGTATTACCAAAATCACCTAGATCTTATCAAATATATTGGACTTACTTAAGACACAACAATTTTATGTTGCATATAGTCACAAGAAAGTTCTGATTGCCATGCTTCTTTGTCAAGGGCAACAATGAAATCAGAAGGAAAAGTCCCTGTGATTAGCTCTGTTAAACTCATTCCCACCCCACATAATTAATAGAAGTCACCCCACATACTTAATAGCAGTCACATAACTGCTTTTAACATTTCAGATTATTTTGGCACTTCTGCCTTGCTATGAGCGTCTTTTTGTTAAAAATAAAAATTTAAAAATAACACACTTCCCCCTGGGAATAAAAGTTATTGTTGTTGTACCATCGAGTCGGAACCAGCCCATAGCTCACCCTCCAATAAATTTTCAAAGGTAATTTAATAGCATGGAAGGAGATTGTCCATCTTTCTCCAGAGCAGGACTGGTGGACTTGAACTGCATGCCTTACCATCAGGCCAGCAGCACTCCAGAGAATAAAAGAGTAGCCCTTTAAATAATGTTCAGTGAATAAGTAGGATCTCTAAGCGTGTGCTCCATACAGATGTCTGGATAGTCATGCACAGAAGTGTAATCTCAGGTTTGCATTGCAGGAATATGTAATGCAGTGTTTTTCACATCTGTAATCTGATAGTGATATATTAAAACAAACTACTTATATAAAATCTCAATAAACAAAACTGCACTCTAATTGATCTTCCTTTGAACTATGCTTCTGCTTGTTACCTGCACACACACACCTTATTCAGTGCAGAGGCTCTAAGGATCTCTGAACCCAATACCCTTATTGACCAGATAGCAAAGCATCCTATTTTCTGAAGCTACATCATAAAAATAAGAGATATTTTTACCTGATGTACAATATCCAGAACATGAATTCTAGCTATGAGATGGAGACGGTCAATTGTTGTTGACCTCAGGTCCATTTCAGAAAGTCATTCTTCTCTGGGGATCAGAAAATCTTTAACATTACAGAGAAATCGGGCCACTTTAAAAACTGCTCTCTGGATTTGGGAAATGTTTTCACTTTGAACCATGAGAGAATTTTTTTCTATGCAAAAGATTTGAACTAAGGAATTTGTGAGGGATATGCATGCATTGGTGACTGTGCAGAAGGATAATTGTTTTTAATTTGTTCGAGATTCATCTCACAAACAGGAAAATAGATCTTGTTAGCTATTACATAGACTAAAAAAAAGAACAAGAAAAGGTAGTTGGAGTATTGGGAAAGTTGTGTTATTTATTATGTGCTGTTGAATCCAATAAGACATATAGTGACCCTATGAACAACAGACTGACTCCTGTCCAATTATGTGTCAAACCAACTTGTTGAGAGTCTTCTCTTTTCTTGACCCTTCACTGTTCCAAGAATGATGTGCCTTTCCAAGGAAGAGCCCCTCTTAACAACATGTCCAAATTATGAGATGAGACTTCATCAAGGACCATTCTGGCATAATCTCCAAAACACCTCTATCTGGTTTTTTGCTAGTCCATGGAATAGTCAGTACTTCTCTTCAACACCAAAACTCAAAGGCATTTATTCTTCTTCTGTCATCCTTATTCATTATCCAACATCCAAATGCATAGCAAGTAATAGAAAAGACCAAGGCATGTATCCAGCATACCTTAGTCTTTAAACAGACATCATTGCTCCTCAAAAATTTGGAGAGATCCCTTGACAGCTGACTTTCTCATTGCAACATGCCTTTTGATTTTTGACTGCTGATGCCAGGAGTGTTGACTGTGGATCCCAGTTAGACAGAAGAGTTGACAACATTGATGTTTTTTTCCATCTTAATGCTGCTTACTAGCCTAGTGGTAAGGAATTTTGTCTACTTGATATTGAGTTGTAATCCATATTGAAGGCTGTAGTCCTTGATCTTCTTTTTTTTTTTATGGAAAAGTAAAAGAAAAGATTCTTTCATTGTTTTACAAACCCTCCCCCAGGTCCCCTCCACCATGTAGCCCTCGCTCTAGTCTCCTGTGATGAC